GAAAGGAAAGAAAGAGAGAGAGAAGAAAGACAGAAAGACGAAAGAAAGAAAGAAAGATAAAGGGAGGGAAGAGAAAAAAGAATCCAGGGTCTTCAAATCCTAGAATCCAGGCCAGGGACACCCTTAGAACACAACCAAATGACAAAAACAGTAATGGTACTGGTGATAATAACAGTAGTGTAAGTGACACTGTAATCATTATGCTGCGAAAGGGCTGAGAGGAAGAGGAGGGAAGAAGAGGCGGAGAAAGGCAAGGCAAGGGAGGCCAGACGCTCTGTCTTCCCATTTTCCAGATGCAGATACTGAGGCCTGGAGCCAGGCTGCAGGGGGGTCCCCGCAGCCTGAACTCCTGCCTCAGCCTCCCCGGGTTCCGCCCCTACATTCTTCAGTCAGCGCTGCTGGGGGGGCCCCAAAGACCTCGGAGGCCGCAAGAGGCGGTGTCTCCACCCGCCGGTCGCTGGGGACTGCAGCGGGCACCCCCCTCGTCCCCCACCCCCCTGCCCGCCGGCGCGCCGCCCACGCCCTCCGCGCGCCCACGCTATAAATAGCCTCTTGCGTGTGACCCGAAGCCCGCCGGGGAGGGGTGGCGCTTCCGCCCCGCTGACCCTGATACCGCAACCCGGCGCGGGCGGGGAGAGGGTGGCGGGATGTGACGACGAAGACGGTGACTCAAGGACCATTTACTGACCAGGGAAGACTAGGAGGAAGACTGGGTGCCTTCTCTGAACCCACTTCCTCCTCCAAGCCCTTCCCCCGAGATCCCCTCCGCGCCCCTCCCCCTTCCCGAATCCCCTCCCTCACCGCGAACCTCCTTAGCTCCTGAGAACCCCCCTCCCCACTCTCCGCCCCCTTCCCTGTCCCCTTTTCCCTTTCAGACCCCTCTCCCACTCTGAGCCCCAGTGATGAAAAAACGTGGTCCTCACCCTGGACCTCGGTAGGGAACTAGGGGCCGGAGCCTGGCTTCAGCTGTCAGAGGTACAGCTCTGCAGCCGGTCCCCCACCGCCTGAGGACCCCAGCGGAGACCATTCCTCTCCAGCCAAGAGAAGCTGCGGGAAAGAGCTGAGGCTTAGGAAAGAGGAGGAGGATTGACCAAAGAAGGGACACAAGAAGGGCAGAGAGAGAGAGAGAGAGAGGAGAGAATAGAGACTGAAAGGAGAGAGCAGGAGTGGAGAGAAACAGAACAGGGAGGAGGGAGACAGAACAGATCAGGCAGCTCCTGGGCTCCCCTCCGAGCCTAAATCTGTGGTTTATAAAATGGGGCACAGTTGGAGGAGCTTCAAGTGGGGCCAAGCCCAGGCTAGACCCCAGTGAGCCCCTTGTATCACCCCCCAGGGCCTGTTACTTCCCACCCCCAGATGTATCCCCCTCCTCTTCTACCCCAATGGCCTCTCCTCTCCCCAGTGTCTCCTCCACCTGCCTGCCCTCCCTAGTGGGAATCTTTCTCTCTTTTACTATTATTATTATTATTATTTTGGAGATAGAGTCTTGCTCTGTCACCCAGGTGCCATCTTGGCTCACTGCAACCTCCACCTCCCCGGTTCAAGCGATTCTCCTGCCTCAGCCTCCCAAGTAGCTGGGACTACAGGCGTGCACCACCACGCCTGGCTAATTTTTGTATTTTTAGTAGAGATGGGGCTTCACCATGTTGCCCAGGCTGGTCTCGAACTCCTGACCTTAGGCCCTCCACCTGCCTCAGCCTCAAAGTGCTGGGATTACAGGTGTGAGCCATGGCACCTGGCCTCTCTCTGTCTTTTAAATTGTTATGTTTAGACATGGGATCTTACTACATTGGCCAGGCTGGTCTTGAACTTGGGGTCTCAAGGTCCCCCCACCGCCTCAGCCTCCCAAGTAGCTGGGATTACAAGCATGTGCCTCTATGCCTGGCGCTCTCTCTGTCTCCTTGTGTCTCTGTCTATTTCTCTCCATCTATCTGGATTCTCCTGTTCTCATCCTATCATTTCTTCATCTCTCCTCTCCCTGTATGAGACCCTCCAGCTGTGGGGCCAGTGTCAGCCTCTGTCACTCTCTCCTCCGCTCCCTGACGCCATCACCATTTTCCCTCCTGCCCCTTCCCCTGCCCACTCCCCTCACAGAGGGTCCGCACTCCTGCAGGCTGGACCTCCTCCAGCAGTGAGGCTCAAAGCTCCTGGGCACATTCCTGAGTGTTCCTGAGCCTATCTCAGCCCCAGGGGTGAGGTGCCAGGTGGGGCGATGTGAGAGAGAAAACCAGATCTAGGGGGAAAGAAAAAAGAGAGAGAGAGAGAGAGAGAGAACCAAACAGAGATGAAGGCCTAGAGAGGGGATTCACTTGCCCAGGGTCACACAGCTTTGGAATCTGAACCTGGCTCAAATCAGTGCTCACCTCTCTGAAGGCCCAGCTAAGGGCTGCAGGGCAGTGGCACCATCTTCACTCATCGTGACCCCCACCTTCCAGGTTCAAGCGATTTCCTGCATCAGCCTCCCAAGTAGCCGGGATTACAGGTGCACGCCAACAGGCTGGCTAATTTTTGTCATTTTTACTAGAGATGGGATTTCGCCATGTTGGCCAGGCTGGTCTCGAACTCCTAACCTCAAGTGATCCACCTGCCTCGGCTTCCCAATGTGCTTGGATTCCAGGCAGGAAACCCCGCGCCTGGCCGGAAACAGTCCTTACTGACATGTGTTGAGGGCCATCACACTTCCCCCGCTCTTCATGGAAATTCCCTCTTCACTGGTTCTGCTCAGGTGCCTTTTGTGAGACAGAAATTCAAGTGATGAGGACAGAGTTGCAAACCCGGGATGGGAGGCTGTGACATCTGCCCAGAGAGACACAATTCTGTTTCTAGGAATTTATCCTTCAACGCGCTAGCACACGCTCTTCGAGACATACTGAAAAACAACACGAAGGATTAGAACAGTGGGTGTCGAGTGCGCCATTTGTCTTGGAAATCAAGCAAGGCGAACGTGGGTATGATTGCCGACGCATGGACCATCTCCAGCGGTACAAGCAACTGCCAATGTTGATCGCATCTGGGAGGGAGACGAAGGGCTGGGATGGAAAGAGCTTTATTCTCAGTGTCTCATCTCTTGGTTGTTTTGGATTTCACAACGTGTGCATGCACTGCCTACACAAACAAAGACATTAATTTGAAGAGGAAAAGAAGAGAAGAAAATAGGAAGGAAAGAAAAGGGCTGGCGCGGTGGCTCACACCTGTAATCCCAGCACTTTGGGAGGCCGAGGCAGGCGGATCACCTGAGGTCAGGAGTTTGAGACCAGCCTGGCCAACATATAGTAAAACCCTGTCTCCACTAAAAATACAAAAATTAGCCGGGCGTGGTGTTGCATGTCTGTAGCCCCAGCTACTTGGGAAACTGAGGCAGGAAAATTGCTTTAATCCGGGATGCAGAGGTTGCAGTGACTGAGATTGCGCCACTGTAGTCCAGCCTGGGCAATAGAGCAAGACTCGGAAAGAAAAGAAAAGAAAAAGAAAGAAATAGAGAAAGAAAGAAAAGCTCCATCAGAAAGAAAGAAAGGAAGGGAGGGAGGAAGGGAAGGGGGGGGAGGAAGGGAAGGAAGGACAAAGGAAGGGAGGGAAAGAAAAGGGAGGAAGGAAGGAAAGAAAGAAAAGCTCCATCAGAAAGAAAGAAAGGAAAGAAAGAAGAAAGAAAAAAGAGGGAGGGAGGGAGGGAAGGAAGGAAGGAAGGAAGGAAGGAAGGAAGGAAGGAAGGAAGGAAGGAAGGGCTCAGTGTGGGAACAGATTGGGGGTGGGAGTAGAGAATGAATGGAGGAAAAAGATGTGGGGAACGAGAGCAGAGTGTGAGAGGTGTTGGCGGTGGAAATTGAATACTTGGTTATAACTGCCAGGAGGGGGCGGAATGACTTTGAATCTCTTGGGGCTGTGGGATTATGTGAAATGTGAGAAGACTGGACCTCGGCAGGTGCCTGACATATATTCAGGCTGCACCTCCCACAAGCAAGTGGGGCTGGACAATCCCTGTCAGCCCTCCAGCCAGGATGCAGGCGTCTCCACCCGCCTTACTTTTTGTTGTTGTTGAGACAAGAGTCTTGCTATGTCACCCAAGCTGGAGTATCGTGGTGAGATCTCAGCTCACTGCAACCTGCGCCTCCTGGGTTCAAGCGATTCTCCTGCCTCAGCCTCCCAAGTAGCTGAGACTATAGGCACCTGTCACCACGCCTGGCTAATTTTTGTATTTTTAGTAGAGACACGGTTTCACTATCTTGGCCAGGCTGGTCTCGAACTCCTGACCTCAGATGATTCATGTGCTTCAGCCTCCTAAAGTGCTGGGGTGATAGGTGTGGGCCACCACGCCTTGCCCTCCATGTGCATTTTGAGAGCCAGCTCTCTGGGTTGCTTTATCCCACCTTGCCCAGCCTTCTTTGAGGCTTCCCCAAACCCTGGGAGCATTTGACATTGCAGACTGAGCTGGACAATGGAGGAAGAGGTCTTGCAGGCCCGAAGGGGCTGGTGGAGTCATCAGAGATTGTCTATTCTTGCCTTCTTCTTCACCTCTTCAACTTCCCCTCTTCTTCTGGGGCCATCCTGGAGGGCTTCCTGTAGGAGGCCTCTCCCACCATTTGCCCAGCTCTTTCTTTCTAATCTTGTTCAATTGTGGGTAACAGCACAGCTATTTGGGAAGCTTGGGGACAGGGGTTGGAGGGAGAGGGAAGGGTAGGGACCACTCTCAGGGTCCAAATTTCCTTCCACTCTAGGGCTGCCTGTGCTCATCTGTCTGATGGCTTTTCTCTCTCTCTCTCCCTCTCATCCCTGCCTCCTCTTTCCTCCCTCTCCTCCTCCCCTTGTCTCTGCCTCTGACATTGCTTCTATCTTTATCTTTTTAAAAACCTGTCTCTGTTGCTTTTTATCTCTGCCTGTCTCTCCTCTGTGTCTCTCTCCTTATGTCTCTATCTTGGTGTGTCTCTGACTCTCTCTGTACCTCTGCCCCTCTCCTCCCCACTTCTCCCCACATCTCCCTTCCCTATCTCTGTCTCTCTCCACAGTCAAAAAAGCCAAGTTTGACGGTGCCCAAGGTAAGTGGCTTCTCTTGCTGTCCTGTCCAGTGTTGCCTGTCTGTCGTTTGTTTCTCTGTCTGTCTGTTTCTCTGTCTGTCTGTTTCTCTGTCTGTCCGTCTGTCTCTTGGAGACCAGATTTAGACTTGAGCTTTGTGTCTTCTGAGCATCAGAAAAGGGGTCAGAAGATTAAACAGGGGGAGGGGCAGCCCTTGGCATGGGGTCCCTGGAGTTTGTATGGGGGTTCCCGAGTCTCCCCAGCCATAGTGGGAGATTCTATCGGGGTGGGGCTTGCCCTGAGCAATGGCTCTTCCCAGGATCCTAAGAGGCAGGATGGGGACTCTTAAGTGGGGCTGCAGGTGTGAAAAATGAGGCTCACAGAGGCAAAGGGAGTTTCTTTCTTTTCTTTTCTTTTTCTTTCTTTTCTTTTTTCTTTGAAACAGGGTCTCGTTCTGTTGCCCAAGCTGGAGTGCAGTGGTGCGATCTTGGCTCACTGCAACCTCCACCTCCTGGGGCCAAGCGATTCTCCTGCCTCAGCCTCCCAAGTAGCTGGGATTACAGGCACCCTCTACCCTGCCCAGATAATTTTTGTGTTTTTAGTAGAGACAGGGTTTCACCATGTTGGCCAGGCTGGTCTTGAACTTCTGACCTCAAACGATCCGCCTGCCTCAGCCTCCCAAAGTGCTGGATTACAGGCGAGAGCCACCACACTCTGCCTGTTTTTTAAATTTAAATTTAAATTTTTTATTTTTTGAGGCTGGAGTACAGTGGTGCCATCATGGCTTACTGCGGCCTCAACTTCCCAGGCTCAAGCGATCCTCCCGCCTCAGCCTCCCGAAGTTCCGGGGCCACAGGCGTGCGCCACTGTGCCCGGCTAATTATTTTTTGTATTTTTAGTAGAGACGGGGTTTACCCAAGTTATCCAGGCTGGGTGCCTCGACCTACCAAAGTGCTGGGATCACAGGCGTGAACCACTGCTCTCGCCCAGCAAAGGGGGTTTCTTCGGTCAATTTCGTTCCCTTTTCTTGGGCCTCGGTCTTTTTAGCCAAAAACCAATGTTTTGAGGCAGCTGGATGAAGTATCCCAAAATTCCACGTCTCCCCACACTGAGGCCCCTCCCTTGTGCCCTGAGGGTAGGGTTGGGGGATAGGGATTGAGTGGCCCAGAAATTCCCAAGGGGGTCCCAGCAGATTATCTAGAGCTTGAGCTTGGAAAGGGGCATTGGAGAGGCCCTGAGCCCCAGTGCTGACCCCTGTTCTCACTGCCACAGAGAAATTCAACACGTACGTAACCCTGAAAGTGCAGAATGTCAAGAGCACGACCATCGCGGTGCGGGGCAGCCAGCCCAGCTGGGAGCAAGATTTCATGTTGTGAGTCCACAGCCTCTGGCATGACCCCGGCCCCTGGCATAGCCCAGCACCTCACTGGCTCCTCGGGGCAGAGCTGGACACCGGGGAAGCCCAGGCAATTCCCTTCCAGCCTCCCTCATCCTGTGTCCACCTTATCTCCTCCACCTCCAAAACACATTCCCAATCCAATCACTTCCCTTGGTCTTCGAGGCCACCAGCCAAGTCCCTGCTGCCCGCCAGCCTCCGCCCTGGCCTCCTGTGCTATCCACCTCCTACAATCTGTTCTCCTCCAGGCAGCCAGGGGGATATTTTTAAAACTGCAAATCACATCCTGTTGCTCCCATATTCCAAAGTTGTCCGTGGCTCATCGACCTCAGAATAAAACCCATAGTGTTCCCCACGGTTCCCGCCACCTTCTCACTCTATCTCCCTCTCACTCCCCTGCCCTGGCCATACCCACACCCACCTCTTTCTCCAACACCTCCCAGCTCGTTCCTGCCCTAGGGCCCTTGCACTTGCTCTCCAGTCCCCAGCTGGCTCTTCTTCAGGTCTCAGCTTGTGTTACCTCCTCAGTGAAGCCCTCCCTGACCACCACCCCCAAGCTACAATTTCAGGGCATCACGCCTTCCCTTGCCTCACCATCAATTGTTTTGTTTGTTTGTTTGATTGAGACAGAGTCTCACTCTGTTCCCCAGGCTGGAGTGCAGTGGCGTGATCTCAGCTCACTGCAACCTCCACCTCCCAGATTACAGTGATCCTTCTGCCTCAGCCTTCCAAGTAGCTGGGCTTACAAGAGTGTGCCACCACACCAGGCTAATTGTACTTTAAGTAGAGATGGGGTTTCACTATGTTGGCCAGGCTGGTCTCAAACTCCTGGACTTAGGTGATCCGCCTGTTTCAGCCTCCCAATGTGCTGGGATTACAGATGTGAGCCACCACACCTGGCCAACAGAGTTTGTCTTCTTTTTTTTCTTTTTTTGAGATGGAGACTTACTCTGTAGCCCAGGCTGGAGTGCAATGGCGCGATCTCGTATCACTGCAACCTCCACCTCCTGGGTTTAAGCTATTCTCCTGCCTTAGCCTCCCAAATAGCTGGAACTATAGACGCACGCCACCATACCCGGCTACTTTTTGTGTTTTTAGTAGAGATGGGGTTTCACCATGTTGGCCAGGCTGGTCTTGAACTCCTGACCTCAGATGATCCGCCCACCTGGGCCTCCCAAATTGCTGGGATTACAGACATGAGCCACCAGGTCCAGTCAACAGGTATATTTTAAAAATACATTCCTTAAGATAAATCTTCAGCAAACTGTAAATTCAATGACTCTCACATTTCGCCAAGTTTCCTGCGCCCCTGAATCAACATATGTCTAGGACGAGGCCTGCAGGGCAAGTGCTTGGAGGTGGGATCACGTCCTCACCTCATGAGATGGAGATGACACTGGGAAGGACAGAGGTGCCCGAATGTCCTTATCCTGGGGGTAGAGGGAGCTATGGAGGTATCGGATCCTCTTCCCCACTTGGCCAGCATGGTCAGGGTTGGAGGGCTTAAGGAAGGCCCAGAAAGATGAAGTTGCAGGCAGTGTGTCACATCTGTCTCCACACCGTCCTTCCCGGCTTTCAATCCTGGTCCTTCTGTGATACCTTGAGCTCTTAACTTCCCTCACTGGCCTCAGTTTCCCCGCTATAAAATGAGAACCCCACCTTGTTATCATATCAGCTAGGATACTCCCAGGCCTTCGTTTGAATTGTGGTATGCTGTGTGTTCTCAGATGAATGAACTAACCTCTCTGAACCCCCATTTTCTCCCTTGATGTCCCCTGTCCTTTTTCCACAGCGAGATTAACCGTCTGGATTTGGGACTGACGGTGGAGGTGTGGAACAAGGGTCTCATCTGGGACACAATGGTGGGCACAGTGTGGATACCATTGCGGACCATCCGCCAGTCCAATGAGGTGAGTGGCCGGTGGCCAGAGGGTGAGGAAGGAAGCCCAGAGCCCAGTGGCCTGAACAAGATCCACATTTATCTCCTGTCCCCTGACAACATCAATGTAGACACCTGGGCCTGCCATGACCTTCCAAAGTCACCAGGGCCTAATACAACTTCCATCTTGCTCTGCCTCTCTCTCCATATGGCTTTGACCTTGTGGCCCCAAGTGGCTGCTTTAGGCTCACCAGTGCATCTTCATTCCAACCAGGGAAAGGTGGTAAGGGGCAGGGAGTTCAGGCACATCTCATTGGCCAGAACTTAGACATGTGGCCAACACCTAGCTGCAAGGGATTCTGGGAAATGTAGTCCTAGGCCGGGAAATGTAGTCCTAGGCCATACAACCCTAGGCACTGCTAAAAATATATTACTATGGAAGGAGGAAAGGATAACATAGGCAATTAGCATTTTGCATCCCAGATGGGCAGCAGCAGGAAGGTTACAGCAGCTCAGAAGAAGGTGCTGGCCCCTCAGCCTGTGCATCATGGTCAGCAGGCAGTCGTGGTGTCTATTTTTTATTTATTTATTTTTGAGACGGGGTCTCATTCTGTTGCCCAGGCTGGAGTGCAGTGGCACGATCATGGCCCACTGCAGCCTCAACTTCCCAAGCTCAAGTGATCCTCCTACCTCAGCCTCCCAAGTAGCCGGGACTGCAGGTGCACACCACCATGTCCCCCTATTTTATTTTATTTTTTTAATAGAGACAGGGTTTTGCCATGTTGCCCAGGCTGGTCTCAAACTCCTGGGCTCAAGCAATCCACCCACCTCAGCCTCCCAAACTGCTGGTATTACAGGCATGAGCCACTGTGCCAAGCTGTGGTCATGTCTATTCATCTGTCCCCACAGCCCAGTCCCTAGCCTCCTGACCTTAAGTCTCAACCCCTCCATGCTGACCCCAGGAGGGTCTTACTACCTGGAGCTCTGATCTATCCTCTCCTGTCCATCTTCCTTGGGAGGCCCTTTAGATGGCACCCGCCCACTAGTCTTATCTCCCCCCACACTCCAACCTCAACCCCTTCCAGATTCCAGCCTCTGAACCTTTGCATATTCTGATCCCTGAGTTTCAAGTGTCCTCCTTTCCATCACCCTCTAAATTCCCATGTGCCCTCTTCCAGGCAGCACTCTCTGACTTCCCTCTGGATCCTTTAGCCCTCCTTCCTCCCTCTGGGCTAGCTATGACCTCATGGGGCTGGAGGTGCCTGTGTCCAGCTCTGTTTCCCAGGGCGGTGGGCTCCTCAGGGTATAGGGTGATGATGGCTGGGGCCTCTTGGGGACCCTGGCATCACTCAGTATATACCAGGCATAGAGGAGGGACTGGGACTATTTTTTTCTTTGTTCGTTTTTGTTATTTCATTTCTTTCTTTCTTTCTTTTTTTGAAATGAAGTCTTGCTTTGTCTCACCAGGCTGGAGTGCAGTGGCACCATCTCGGCTCACTGCAGCCTCTGCCTACCTGGCTCAAGTAATTCTCCTGCCTCAGCCTTCCAAGTAACTGGAATTACAGGCACCCACCACCACACCCAGCTAATTTTTGCATTTCTAGTAGAGATGGGGTTTCATCATGTTGGCCAGGCTGGTCTTTAACTCCTGACCTCAAGTGATCTGCCCACCTTGGCCTCCCAAAGTGCTGGATTATAGGTATGAGCCATTGCACCTGGCTAGTGAGCATCTGCTTTTGAATGAATGAATGGAGAGAGACAAAATGGTTGCAAGATTCCAGGCAAGTGAGTCTAAAAGGAAGCCTCGGCTGGGCGTGGTGACTCACGCCTGTAATCCCAGCACTTTGGGAGGCTGAGGCAGGAGGATCACCTGAGGTCAAAAGTTCAAGACCAGCCTAGCCAACATGGTGAAACTCTGTCTCTACTAAAAAATACAAAAAAATTAGCCAGGCATGGTGGTGTGCACTTGTAATCCCAGCAGCTCAGGAGGCTGAGGTAGAATCACTTGAGCCTGGGAGGCGGAGGTTGCAGTGAGCTGAGATCACGCCACTGCACTCCAGCCTGTATGATAGAGCAAGACCCTGTCTCAAAAACATTAAATTAAAATATATAAAAGGAAACCTTGAGGGAGACCCAAAATTTCCTTAATGGCCCTTCAAGTGTGAGGGAAGCCTGGTCACCTGGGGTGGCAGAAAGTAGATTCCACTAAAGATCATTCCCATTTGAATAACGAAGAGACTGAGGTTCAGGGTGGACCCCACTCGTTCAAAGGCAACATTTCTGAACCAGGAGAAATGGGCTCGCTCTCCTGGGGGATGTTCTCCCTGGGTGATAGCAGGCCCCAGGGCTTTTGTCTGAAGTCAGAGTCCCATAACCCCTTATCAGGGGTGAGGAATGACCATGAGGGGCTGGGGCTGTCCTTACCTGACCCCAAGGGGTTCCCCCTCTAGGTCCCTTGCTCTGGGTTCCCCTGACTCACCATGTGGCCCTGGACTGAGACCTTTCCCTCTCTGAATCTCAGTTTTTTTCATGTGTAACATGGGAACACAGGCAGGCACAGTGGCATGTGTCTATAGTCCCAGCCACTGGAAGCTGAGGCATGAGGATCACTTGAGGCCAGGAGCTCAAGATGAGCCTGGGCAACATAGTGAGACCCCAGCTCTAAAAATAAAGAAAGAGAGAGAGAGAAAAATAGAGGCAGGGAAGGGGAAGGGAGGGGAGAGAGAGGGAGGGAGGGAAGGAAGGAGAGGAAGGAAGGAGAAAGAAAAAAGAAGAGAGAATGGAAGGGCAGGAAAGAAAGAAAAAAGAGAAAGGAAGGAATGAAGGAAAAGAAAAAGGAAGGGAGGGAAGGAGGGAAAGAGAGAAAGAAAAAAGAGAAAGAAAGCAAGCTTTGGGAGGCCGAGGCGGGCAGATCACAAGGTCAAGAGATCAAAACCATCCTGGCCAACATGGTGAAACCCCCTGTCTACTAAAAAATACAAAAATTAGCTGGGTGTGGTGGTGCATGCCTGTAGTCACAGCTACTCAGGAGGCTGAGGCAGGAGAATTGCTTGAACCCGGGAGGCGGAGGTTGCAGTGAGCAGAGATCAGAGAATTGCACTCCAACCTGCCGCCTGGCAACAAAGCAAAACTCTGTCTCAAAAAAAAAAAGAAAGGAAGGAAGGAAGGAGGGAGGGAGGAAAGGAGGAAAGAGAGAGAGACAGGAAGAAGGGAGGAAAGAGAGAGGAGACATGAGACATGAATTTTGTTTTGGGGTAGGGGTGAGGGGGATGTCTCATGTGAGAGTAGGGGCCCTGGGGCCCAGCATGCAGCAGACACCTGACCACACACCTGCTTCCCGACCCCAGGAAGGCCCCGGAGAGTGGCTGACACTGGACTCCCAGGTCATCATGGCAGACAGCGAGATCTGTGGCACCAAGGACCCCACTTTCCACCGCATCCTCCTGGACACGCGCTTTGAGCTGCCTTTAGGTGAGTCCCGGGGCACGTGACCTTCACCCAGCCCCGGCCCCACTTCTGGACTCACTCAGCTATTCCAGGAGAGTGAACAGGCCTGGGAGGTCTGGCTGACCCTTCAGGCTGAGAATGAGTGTCCTTCGCCCCAGAGGAGAGAGAGTTTCTTGGGTTACAGAGAACAGGGGTGTTGGAAATAGACGCCTGGTGCTGGAAAGAAAAATCAGCACTGAGACAAAGGATCTTTCAGCAACACAACTTTTACTTCCTGGACTGCAGGAGGGGTACCCTTGCTAGCCATCTTGCCATGAGAGTACAATGAACAAAGGAAAACACACTAATTTATTCCTTACGCATTCAGGGTTGTCCTTACTGCTGTGTCTGATCTTCATTGGCTGGAGCCAGACCTCACAATCTAAACTAAAACCTGATTGGCTAACGACTTAAAACTTTTCTAAAAGCAACGGAGAGCTGGGACATGCCTGTCAGCATGTCCAGCACAGATATCTTAGTTAAAGTACTAGGACATAGAATGTACTACGTGCCTGTAAGCATGTCTAACAGCTACACAGGATAGGGCTTAACAAAGTTATTAGCACACTTATGATTTATTCTTTAACAAGAAAGGAAACTTTAAAAAGGGACGTTTTCTACTTCCCACAATTGGTGTGAACCTGCTGTGTACAGACCGTGACCCAGGCCCCGTAGCTTGAGCTGCAAACTCTTCACAACCCACGGGGCTCAGGGCTGGGCAGTCCTGGCTATTCCTCAGTGATGCCTGGGGCTGCAAGAGTGAGCTGGGGATCAGAGGAGAGACAGAGACAGAGAGACATGTAGACAGAGGCTGAGAACAGACAGTCCCCTCTTCCTTTCCTAGAAGCACCTCGAGTCTCTCCACCTCATTCTTCTAAGAACTCATGGGTGTCCAGGCTCAGTGTCTCATGCCTGTAATCCCAGCACTTTGGGAGGACGAGGCGGGAGGATCACTGGAGGACAGGAGTTTGAGACCAGCCTGGGTGATCTAGTGACATCCCATCTCTATGAAAAAGCTAAAGATTCACCAGCCATGGTGGCAGGTCCCCATAGTCCCAGCTATTCAGGAGGCTGAGGCAGGAGGATTGCTTGAGCCCGGAAGTATGAGGGTGCAGTGAGCTGTGATTGCACCACTGCACTCCAGCCTGGGTGACAGAGTGAGACGCTGACTCTAAAAAATGAAAAATAAAAACAATGGGCTGGGCGTGGTGGCTCAAGCCTGTAATCCCAGCTCTTTGGGAGGCCAAGGCAGAAGGATTACCTGATGTCAGGAGTTCAAGACCAGCCTGGCCAACATGGCGAAACTCCATCTCTACTAAAAATATAAAAAATTAGCCAGGCATGGTGGCGGACACCTGTAATCCCAGCTACTTGGAGGCTGAGGCAGGAAAATCACTTGAACCTGGGAGGCGGAGGTTGCAGTGAGCTGAGATCGCACCGCTGCACTCCAGCCTGGGCAACAGAGCAAGACTCCATCTCAAAAAAGTTAAATAGATAAATAATAAAAACAATGGCTTCCCCGCCCTCATAAATGCCAGGAACCATCTCCTCTCATCCTCCAACTGTTCTCCATCCATCTTTGGGGAGAGGGGAGGCAGAGGCAGTGCCTCCCCTTCATCTCCATCTACCCTCCTGGGACCCCAGATCAGCCCAGCCCCCACTTCCGAGGGTTTGCCAAAGACCCTAGAAGCCAGGGCCTTGCTGGAGCTCAGGAAGCCTGTAGGATGGAGGCTGAGGGGCAGGGAGGGGCGTCCAGGCTCACAGACCGGCTCTGCTTGCAGACATTCCGGAAGAAGAGGCTCGCTACTGGGCCAAGAAGCTGGAGCAGCTCAATGCTATGCGGGACCAGGATGAAGTGAGTGTTGGGGTGGGAAGGGCTGTTTTCTTCCTTGTTTCTGTCTCTGTCTCCCCACGTACCGGTGCTGTTTCTCTGTGAGCTTCTCTTTCCCTGAGTCTCTGTTTCTAATTCTCTGTAACCTGACTGCATCCATGACTCACCTGGTCCAGTGTCGAGACAATGATGTGGTCAAGAAACACGCAGAGGCTGGGCCTGGGGCTCACACCTGGAATCCCAGCACTTTGGGAGGCTGAGACAGGCGGATCACCTGAGGTCAGGAGTTCTAGACCAGCCTGGCCAACATGGTGAAACCCTGTCTCTACCAAAGGTAAAATAAAAAATTAGCCATGTACAGGGGCTCAGGTCTGTAATCCCAGCACATTGGGAGGCCAAGGCAGGGACAGCATTTGAGGTCAGGAGTTCGAGACCAGCCTGGCTAACATGGTGAAACTCCATCTCTACTAAAAACACAAAAAATTAGCCTGGTATGATGGTGGGCGCCTGTAAGCTCAGCTATTCAGGAGGCTGAGGTGGGAGAATCACTTGAATCTGGGAGGCAGAGGTTGCAGTGAGCCGAGATCATGTCACTGCACTGCAGCCTGGGCGACAGAGCAAGGCTCCATGTCAAAATAATAATAATAATAATAATAATAAAAACTTTTATTTTACATTCAAGGGGTGCATGTGCAGGTTTGTTACACAGATACATTACATGATGCTGGGGTTTGGGCTTCCGTGGTGTTACTCCAATAGCGAACACAGTACCCAACAGGTAGGTTTGTTTGTTGGTTTGTTTGTTTTTGAGACAGAGTTTTGCTCATGTTAGCCCAGGCTGAAGTGTAATGGCGTGATCTCGGCTCACTGCAACCTCCACCTGCCGGGTTCAAACGATCCTCTTGCCTCAGCCTCCTCAGTAGCTGGGATTACAGGCATGTGCCAACACACCCAGCTAATTTTTGTATTTTTAGTAAAGACGGGGTTTCTCCATGTTGGTCAGGCTGTTTTGAACTCCCAACCTCAGGTGATCCACCCACCTCAGCCTCCCTGAGTGCTGAGATGACAGGCGTGAGCCACCGTGCCCGGCCCCCACAGGTAGTTCACTCACCCTGGTCCCGCGCCCTCCTTCCTCCCTTCCGGAGTCCCCTGTGTTTACTGTTTGCATCTTCACGTCCACGAGCACCCAATGTTTAGCTTGCGCTTATAAGCGAGAACATGTGGGATTTGGTTTTCTGGTTTTGGATGGATTCGCTTAGGATAATGGCCTCCAGCTCCATCCACGTTCCTGCAAAGGGCATGATTTAATTGATTTAATTATTTTTTATGGCTGTGTAGTTCTCCATGGTATATAGGTACCACATTAAAAAAAAAAAATCCAGGCCAGGCATGGTGGATCATGCCTGTAATCCCAACACTCCGGGAGGCTGAGGTGGGAGGAACACCTAAGGTCAGGAGTTCAAGACCAGCCTGGTCAACATGGTGAAACCATTTCTATTAAAAATAGAAAAAACAGCCAGGCATGGTGGCGGGCACCTATAATCCCAGCACTCTGAGGGGCTGAGGTGGGCAGATCACAAGGTCAAGAGATTAAGACCATCCTGGCCAACATGGTAAAACCCCATCTTTACTAAAAAATACAAAAATTAGCTGGGCATGGTGGTGCACACCTGTAGTCCCAGCTACTCAGGAGGCTGAGGCAGGAGAATCGCTTGAACCTGGGAGGCAGAGGTTGCAGTGAGCCGAGATTGTGCCACTGCACTCCAGCCAGGGTGACAGAGCAACACTCTATCGCAAAAGAGAAAAATCCAATCCACCACTGGATTACAGGGCACCTAAGTTGATTCTGTATCTTTATTATTGAGAATAGCGCTGCCATGAACATACGTGTGCATGTGTCCTTTTGGTAGAACAATTTCTTTCTTTGTTTTCTTGTGGAGTCTTGCTCTGTCGTCTAAGCTGGAGGCTGGAGTGCAATGACGCGATCTCGGCTCACTGCACCCTCCGCCTCCCAGGATCAAGTGACTATCGTGCCTCAGCCTCCCGAGTGGCTGGGATAACAGGCACGTGCCACCATGGCCAGAGAATTTTCATGTTTTTAGTAGAGATGGGGTTTCACCATGTTGGCCAGGCTGGTCCTAAACTCCTGACCTCAAGTGATCTTCGCGCCTCAGCCTCCCAAAGTGCTGCGATGACAGGTGTGAGCCACCGCGCCCGGCCCCTAGTCTTTTTCCTGTCTCTGTTTCTCAGTTTCTCTCTGTCTCTGTCTTTCTCTCGTGTGTGTGTGTGTGTGTGTCTTTCTCTCCTTTTCTCTCTTACTCCCCATATCCTTCTCATAGAGAGGGAGAGAATTTGGGAGGTAGAGGGAAGTGAGAATGGGATGGAACAGAGGACTTTCCTGGTCCCCTGGCCTTCAATCCTTCTGAGACAAGCCCTTTCTCCTTCCCCTACCCCTTCAGTATTCGTTCCAAGATGAGCAAGAAAAGCCTTTGCCTGTCCCCAGCAACCAGTGTTGTAAGTACCTCTTGATTCTTCTTGGGCATGGGCTGAAACCCTCGTCCCTCCCTTACCCCATGACTGTCCTGTCTAAAGACTTCTCCCCTCCAGAGATACAAAGTCCCGAGAGTGTAGTGTCTACTTACAGTGTATTAGAAATTAGAGTTCTGAGGCTGGGTGTGGTGGCTCATCCCTGTAATCCCAGCACTTTGGGGGATCAAGGTCAGGAGTTCAAGACCAGCCTGACCAACTTGGCAAAACCCCATCTCTACTAAAAGTACAAAAAAAAAATTAAACAGACATGGTGGTGGGTGCCTGCAATCCCAGCTATTTAGGAGGCTGAGGGAGGAGAAATGCTTGAACCCAGGAGGTAGAGTCTGTGATGAGCTGAGATCACATCACTGCACTCCAGTCTGCTACAGAGCAAGACTCTGACTCAAAAAAGAAAAGAATAGGAAAGAACAGAAAAGGGAGGGAGGAAGGAAGGAAGGAAGGAAGGAAGGAAGGAAGGAAGGAAGGAAGGAAGGAAGGAAAAGAGAAAGAAAGACAGAAAGGAAGGAAGGAGAAAGAAAGAAGAAAGAGAGAGAGAGAAAGGAAGGGAGGGAGGGAAGAAAGGAGGGAGGGAGGGAGAGAGTTCTGAGACTTGGGCTTGATGACCTTGCTCCATGGTCCTGAGCAGGCCAGTGTCCCTCTCCAACATTTAGGGACCTTCTCTTTGAAATAGCACATCTGACAGACCTGCACTCTGAGGGCTGCTGGAAGGATTTGGAACATCTAGAGACATGAAAAACACTTTGTAGATGCTTCACTTCCATTCATCAGATCCTGGATGAGGACATAGAACTCATTCAACAAACTAGTCGTGGGGCCAGCACAAACCCGAGCAGCCCAGAGTCAGACGTTGCAGACACAGAAGGAAGACATGCCAACACACGTACAACGGGTGCACCTACAACAGACAAAGGCTGTTTCATTCACCCATTTTCTTAGATGGAGAAACTGAGGCCCAAGAGGAGATGTCACCCACCACCACACACTCGGCAAGTGGCAGAGCCAGGATTTGAACCCAGGTCTGAGGGACTCCAACTTTGCTTCCCTTTCTACCACACCCTGTCTGTTAATTATGATGATGAAAACGTTCCTCTTCCTGTTTCCAACAAGGCTGCAGCGGTCAAGATTTTTTATCTCCCTGGGCCCAGTGGACACTCAGATGCATCCAGACTGGGTCTTTTCATGGATGGAAGAGCTGTCTCCCTCCTTAAAATGTCTTTCCGTTGCTCTGCGGTGGAGAGGAAGTAGCAAACCATACAGCCTCAGGGCACAGCTCCCACCTGCTGACACCAAAACCCCACTTCACTCTTCAGCCTTCCTTTCCATTTATTTATTTATTTATTTATTTAGAGGTAGAATCTTGCTTTGTCACCCAGACTGGACTGCAATGGTATGATCTTGGCTCACTGCAGCCTCCGCCTCCTGGGTTTGAGCAATTCTCGTGCCTCAGCCTCTTGAGTAACTGGTGTTACAGGCGCGTGCCACCACGCCCAGCTAATTTTTGTATTTTTAGTAGAGACAGGGTTTCGCCATGTTGGTCGGCTAGTCTAGAATTTTTTACCACCCATGATCCACCCGCCTCAGCCTCCCGAAGTGCTGGGATTACAGGCATAATCACCATGCTCAGCTTTTTTTCATTTCTTTTTTCATCTTCCTTTTCTCCCCTCTCACCATCTTTCCTGCATCTGCATCTCCCCCACCATGTGTCCAGGAGAGTGGTAACTGACCCAGAGGTGGGGAGGGCTTGGGGACTACAGCTGGGGAGACCCTGTTTCTACACTGACTTGGGGTGTGATATTGAGAAAGTCCCTTGGCCTCCCTGGCCAAGGAGGGGCCATCACTGCGTGGAAGGAATTACAAACACCCTCCCCAGGGATGGGGTCACTGAGAGGTTGCAGTGGGGGTGGAGCCAGGCAGAGTGGAGGCAGGAAGGCAATGGCAGTGGGCCCCTGGGTGGATGGACTGGAGCCAGGGGCAGGTTCAATTTGGGGAATGGAGACCACCACTCAGTATTTATCCATAAGGAAATACTGGGAGTGTTTTGTCACCTCTGTTTCCCAGAGAAAGCAGCCAATGGTCAGAAGAGCCAGGTTTCTGGTCCGGGACACTTTTCTGAAGTACCAGGTAGTTGATAGGCAAAGGTGGCTCTCGCCCTGATACTCAGAGGCTGTGTGACTTTGGGCTGCTCACTCTGTCTCTCTGAGTCCCATTGTTTCAACTATAAAATGAGCAGAATGATAAAATCCACACAACAATGGTGTTTCAAAGCTTAGGGTTTCCAATTTAGTGTAAAGCAGGGAGAGGAAAAGGGTGGAGGCTGCTAACCCCAGACTTTACAGTCAGAAAACACTGGGCCCAAATACCCACTTTGTTACTTCCTGACTGTGCCTTTCCTCCCATTCAAAACTGAGCCCGGCACAGTGGCTCATGCCTGTAATCCCACTACTCAGCCTCACTTGAGACCAGGAGTTTGAGACCAACCAGAGCAACATAGCAAGACTCCATCTCTACACACACACACAAAAAACACAAAGAAAAACCACCAAAAAACAAAACATTAGCCAAACACTGTGGTGGGTGCCTGCAACCCCAGCTACTCAGGAGGCTGAGGTGGGAGGATTGCTTGGGCTTGGGAATTCGAGGCTACAGTGAGCCATGACTGCACCACTGTACTCCAGGCTGGATGACACAGCGAGACCCTGTCTCAAAAAAAAAAAAAGAAAGAGAAGAAAAGAAATTTTTTTTAAAAAACAAACAAACAGGGATATCCGCCTTCCTCCCAAGGTGGAGAGCAGAGACACAGCAAGTGTCAGCAACAAAAATGATGCTCACGGAAGGTACTCAGGACAAGAGGGCTGCCATCTTGGGGTGCAGGGAGGAGATGGGGAGAGTGAGGAAGATGACAGGGGAGCCCCCCTCCCTACGCCCACCCCTCTGTCTGCTCCCTTTTATTATTTCTGCCCCTTCTCTTTGTAGGCAACTGGAATTATTTTGGCTGGGGTGAGCAGCACAGTAAGTACTCAGCCTGAATGATGTTCTGGGAGGCCCATGGGAAGGTGGGCACCTTGGTGATCCCAAGGCCCCTCCGCACTACCACACAGGGAACCAGGGTGCCCGTAACCAGCACGTGAGGGCCAGAGGGCTTGGCAAGACCCCTCCCAAGCTCTCCTGCACCCTCTTCATTAGCGCCTGTCTTGGGAGACCTGCTCTCTGCTGAGGAGTGGGCACCATTATTGGGGTGGGGGGTTCAGCCTGAAGAGGTGGACATTTAGACCAAACACCTGCCTGTCTCCAGCCGGGCACTGTGACCCCTTCCGCCACTCCCCCTGTATAACCTCATCTCCTCTCCTTCAACCCCTCTGTCTTTTGGTCTTCCTATCTTCCTTCTCCACCTGGAAATGGGCCCAGTGTCACTCAGAGGGTAGTGGGTGGGCAGGGAGAGGGTCTCCGATAGAGGGGCGGGTCAGGGACCTCAGCATCCCCCCAGGCTCTACCCACATTCACACCACACCTCCCACCTTCATTTGCTCTCTGAGGGAAGAGAGCAAGCCACCTCCTCCCTAAATTAAATGTCCATTTTCTACCCAACAACAGTCCGCAACCTTTTTGACACCAGGGACCAGTTTCATGGAAGACAATTTTTCCATGGACTAGGGGGTAGGGGGGATGGTTTCCGGATGATTCAACCTTATTGCATTTATTGTGCACTTTATTTTTTTATTATTACATTACAGTACATAATGAAATATTGATACAACTCACCGTCATGTAGAAGCAGTGGGAGCCCCGAGCTTGTTTCCCTGCAATGAAACCATCCCATCTAGGGGTGATGGGGGACACTGACAGATCATCAGGCATTAGATTCTTCTTCTTCTTTTTTTTTTTTTTTTTTGAGACAGAGTCTTATTCTGTCACCCAGGCTGGAGTGCAGTGGTGCAATCACAGCTCACTGCAACCTCTGCCTCCCAGGTTCAAGAGATTCTCCTGCCTCAGCCTCCCAAGTAGCTGGGACTACAGGCACCCACCACCACACCCGAATAATTTTTGTATTTTTAGTTGAGATGGGTTTCACCATGTTGGTTAGGCTGGTCTTAAACTCCTGACCTTGTGATCCACCCACCTCAGCCTCCCAAAGAGCTGGGATTACAGGTGTGAGCCACTGAGCCTGGCCAATCCTCTCTGCTAAGGATAAATCTGCCTCCTTCTCTCTCCTCCGCCAACTGGGGAGTTCTTCACTTCTTTCTCATGTCTTGGTGGACAAACCTAACTCCAGGACCAGTGAAACTGCTGACAAACCCTTTGGTCCACCACAATTTCTCAAAAACAAGTTGGTTAAAAATCAATCTAGGGCCGGGCGCGGTGGCTCACGCCTATAATCCCAGCACTTTGGGAGGCCGAGGCAGGTGGATCACGAGGTCAAGAGATCAAGACCATCCCGGTCAACAAGGTGAAACCCCGTCTCTACTAAAAATACAAAAATTAGCTGGGCATGGTGGTGCGTGCCTGTAGTCCCAGCTACTCGGGAGGCTGAGGCAGGAGAATCGTTTGAACCCAGGAGGTGGAGGTTGCAGTGAGCTGAGATCGCACCATTGCACTCCAGCCTGGGAAACAGAGTGAGACTCTGTCTCAAACAAAACACAACAATAGCAACAACAACAACAACAACAAAAAAAAAAGGCTGGGCGCGGTGGCTCACGCCTGTAATCCCAGCACTTTGGGAGGCCGAGGCGGGTGGATCACGAGGTCAAGAGATCGAGACCATCCTGGTCAACATGGTGAAACCCCGTCTCTACTAAAAATACAAAAAATTAGCTGGGCGTGGTGGCGCGTGCCTGTAATCCCAGCTACTCAGGAGGCTGAGGCAGGAGAATTGCCTGAACCCAGGAGGTGGAGGTTGCGGTGAGCCGAGAATGCGCCATTTCACTCCTGCCTGGGTAACAAGAATGAAACTCCATCTAAAAACAAACAAACAAACAAAAACTCCAATATAGCTAAAGCTGATAGATATTTGGGTCAAAAAGGAAAGATAACTGAGCCGAAAACAGACCATTTGGTCAAAACAAAAGTAGCTGGAAATAGTCAGAAGCAGACAATTTAGTCAAGAACTACTTGGTAGAAAGCAGAGCCTGGGCAAAAGCAGAAAGACTCCAACTCCAAGTAATTGACCTTTCAGAAGCAGACAATTCGTCAGAAAAAGAAAAGGCTTGGTAAACATGTGCACAGCCTCATGCGGTTTGACCGGAAACATCTCAGCCCGGTCAAGGACAAGTCAGTAGAAAGAATGCCATCTGGCCACAGTGGCTCACACCTGTGATCCCAGCACTTTGGGAGGCTGAGGTGGGAGGATTGCTTGAGCCCCGGAGTTCAAGACCATCCTGGGTAATATAGGGAGAGCCCATCTCTACAAAAAATAAATAAATAAATAAAATGAGCTGGGCGTGGTGGTGTGTGCCTGTGGTCTCAGCTTCTCTGGAGGCTGAGGTGGGAGGATCTCTTGAACCTAGGAGGTTGAGGCTGCAGTGAGCTATGATCACCCCATTGCAGTCCACCCCAAGTGAGAGAGACCCTGAATACACCAAAAATCTGAAGATTTCATTCATTGCTCTGAGAGTTTGGAGTCTGGGAGTTCCTTCATTTTTTAAACCTCCTCTTCCCCTTCTCTGTATTTCTCATATTTTCTTTTTTTTTTTTTTTTTGAGACGGAGTTTCACTCTTGTTACCCACGCTGGAGTGCAACGGCGTGATCTTGGCTCACTGCAACCTGTGCCTCCTGGGTTCAAGTGATTCTCCTGCCTCAGTCTCCCGAGTAGCTGGAATTACAAGCACGCACCACCATACCATTTTTGTATTTAAGTAGAGACGGGGTTTCACCATACTGGTGAGGCTGGTCTCAAACTCCTGACCTCATGATTCTCCTGCCCTGGGCTCCCAAAGTGCTGGGATTACAGGTGTGAGCCACTGCACCTGGCCCGTGGACTACATTTTTCTTTATTTTACTTGCATTTTATATTTTGGAGACAGAGTCTTGCTGTCACCCAGCCTAGAGTGCAGAGGTGTGATCTTGACTCACTGCAACCTCCGTCTCCTGGGTTCAAGCAATTCTCCTGCGTCAGCCTGCCAAGGAACTGGGATTACAGGCACATGCCACCACCCCCGGCTAATTTTTTTTTATTTTTAGTAGAGACAGGGTCTTGCTATGGTGCCCAGGCTGGTCTTGAACTCCTGGGTTCAAGTGATCTGCCTGCCTCGGCCTCTCAAAGCGCTGGGATTCCAGGTGTGAGCCACTGTGCCCGGCCTTTGCTTTACTCTTAAAGTAGCGGTAACTTTATTATGTTTTTAACTTTAAAAAATAGAAAAGATGGCATTATTGAAATCTTTTTTTCAGAAGGTACAGAAAAGAATAAAGAAGAAAATGTACAATCCCCCAATTATACCACCCCCCCCACACATGTTGCTTTTAGAATTGGAATTTTTTTAGGATTTAGAAAACAAACTGTTCTTTTTTCTAAGGAAACCAAACTAAACCAAAATATCTTTTAGTCCGTATTAAACATGAAGTTTGGCAACTCTGCCACATTCCCTTCTAGCAATAGAGTCTTGGTGTGTGGTGAGTTTGCCAAGTTGAGCATCTAATCCTTTTTGAAAAAGACAGAACCACATCACAGCATCTTCCTGGGTGTTGTGCCTATAAGATGCGGTCTGGGTCCTCACCCTCAGCTACCAGAAGATCTCTAAGGGCTACAGGGCGTTCACTCCAGCTTGAACTACTGATCTTCCTCCACCTTCCCTCTGAGTGTGCGTGTGACTCCTGTTATGGGAAACTAACTGCCCAATGGAAAAAAAAAATCCCATCTCATGTTCAGAGATCCTGAGCTGCAGCCAAGTTGTTCCTCACATTTGAGCTGGAGGATGCCCTCTACTTTGTCCTTGTTTTCTTCACATTGTAGGACCTACCCTAGCCCCTAGACTGCAGGTCCAATTTGACCCACAGAAGGCAAAGCAGGGTTTTCACCTCCTTTGTTCTGAAGCCTATATCTCCCTTAACATGATCCACAATTCTTTATCCATACTAGTAAAAAATTCTTGTCTTTGGTAGCAGCACCCTAAGTCGGGGAAACTGTATTGGCCCCCATCACATGTGCTCTCTCTCTCTTCCTCGCCCTCTTCCCATATCTCCTCTCTCTTTCAGACGATGACCCCGACAGTGCAGTGGATGACCGTGACAGTGACTACCGCAGTGAAACGAGCAACAGCATCCCGCCGCCCTATTATACAACGTCGCAACCCAATGCCTCAGTCCACCAGTATTCTGTCCGCCCACCACCCCTGGGTTCCCGGGAATCCTACAGTGACTCCATGCACAGTTACGAGGAGTTCTCTGAGCCGCAGGCCCTCAGGTAGCTGCTGTGGAGAGCAGCGTGCGTGTGTGTGTGTGAGGGCCCTGCTGTGTCTCCTGGGGTGGAGAAGGGTGGGGGGCTGGAGCTGGAGGTGGAGCTCCAGGAAAGCAGAATTCACCCATCCAGGAGGGCAGAATTCACATTTTCTTGTGAAAATCGTTCCCTTTTTTTTCTTTCCTTTTCTGTTCTTTTTTTCTTTTTCTTTTTTTGTCCACTCAGACTGAAGTGCAGTGGCGAGATCTGGGCCCACTGCACCCTCCACCTCCCGGGCTCAAGCAATTCTCCTGCCTCGGGCTCCTGAGTAGCTGGGACCACAGGCTCCCACCACCACGCCTGGGGAATTTTCGTATTTTTTTTATTTATTTATTTATTTATTTATTTATTTATTTATTTATCTATCTATCCGTCCGAGATAGAGTCTCGCTCTGTCACCCAGGCTGGAGTGCAATGCCGTGATTTCGGCTCACTGCGACCTCCACCTCCCGGGTTCCGGTGATTCTCCTGCCTCAGCCTCCCGAGTAGCTGGGATTACAGGCACCCGGCACCACATCCGGCTAATTTTTTGTATTTTTAGTAGAGATGGGGTTTCACCATGTTGGTCAGGCTGGTCTTAAACTCCTGACCTCATGATCCAACTGCCTCGGCCTCCCAAAGTGCTGGGATTACAGGGTTGAACCACTGCGTCCAGCCTCTTTCTTTACCCAAAAGCTTGCAAGAAAATTCTATAAGCAGCCTGGTGTGGTGGCTCACACCTGTAATACGAGCGCTTTGGGAGGCTGAGGTGGGAGGATCTCTTAAGTTCAAGAGTTCGAGACCAGCCTGGGCAATAAAGTGAGACCTCCCGTCACTACAAAAAAAATACAAAAATTAGCCAGGCATGGTGGCACACACCTGTGGATCCAGCTACACAGGAGGCTGAGGTGGGAGGATCACTTGAGCCTGGGAGGTCGAGGCTGCAGTGAGCCAGCCTGGATGACGGAGTGAGACAAGATCTTGTTCTGTTGCCCAGGCTGGAGTGCAGTGGCACCATTACGACTCAGTGCAGCCTTGGGCTCCTGGGCTCAAGTGATCCTCCCATCTCAGCCTCCCCAGTAGATGGGATTACAGGCACAGGCCACCATACCAAGCTAATTTATTTTTATTTTTTCTAGAGATGGGAGTCTTGCTATATTGCCCAGGCTGGTCTTGAACCCCATTTTTATTCCTGTAGCATCCCCGAGGCTGGCCAGGGAAGGGGGTCCTGGGCACTGTGACTGGAGGAGGTATCTAATCAGGAAATGATAAGGTTTGTTGAGTGACTAAGTGAATGGTTAGAAGAGGGTTGTCCTCCTGCCTGCACTTGGACAGAGACAAAATATTTCTTTCTGGTGAGATCAAGCATGATCCTGGGTTCATATAAGGAGCATATAACAGAGGGCCTGACCTGGCCAGAGAGTCGGGGGGCAGTCACGCAAGTAAGTGATGAGAGGATAGGCAGGAGTTTACTAGATAAGGCAGACAAGGGCCCGGCACAGTGCATGGCTGATGCCTGTAATCCCAGCACTTTGGGAGGCCGAGGTGGGCGAATCACCTGAGGTCGAGAATTCGAGACCAGCCTGACCAACATGGAGAAACCCTGTTTCTACTAAAAATACAAAAAAATTAGCTGGATGTGGTGGTGCACAGCTGTAATCCCAGTTACTCAGGAGGCTGAGGCAGGAGAATCGCTTGAACCCAGGAGGGGAGGTTGTGGAGAGCTGAGATCACACCATTACACTCCAGCCTAGGCAATAAGGGTGAAACTTCATCTCAAAAGTGGCTCATGCCTGTAGCCTGTAATCCTGGCACTTTGGGAGGCCGAAGCAGGTGGATCACAAGGTCAGGAGATTGAGACCATCCTGGCCAACATGATGAAACCCCATCTCTACTAAAAATACAAAAATTAGCTTGGCGTGATGGTGCGTGCCTGTAGTCCCAGCTACTCGAGAGGCTGAGGCAGGAGAATCACTTGAACCCAGGAGGCAGAGATTGTGGGGAGCTGAGATCGCGCCATTGCACTCCAGCCTGGGCAACAAGAGCAAAACTCCGTCTCAAAAAAAAAAACAGACCAGGAAGAGACCACAGCAAGGGCACAGGCTTATGGTGTTGGAGGGAGGACAAGAAGGCCAGTGTGGCTGGAATGGAGGCGGTGGGGGATGTGGAGGGAGATGGGCAGGGGGAGCATGGGATTTGGAGGGTAAGGACCACACAGGGCTAGCACAGATTTTATACCAAAGCACTAGTGAGCTATGGTTGGGTTTAGAGCAGAGGAGGGAGGTGATTGGATTTATGATTCCCCGTTGCTTCCAAGGGTAGTGAGAACTGCGGAGACAGCAGAGGCTGGCCTGGGATGCGGGCCAGGGCACTGGGAAGTGGATGCATTTCCCATACTTTTTCGAGGTGGAGGCCAGGAGACCTGCCATGGCGCTGGTGATGACGCTGAGCCTGAGTTTCCAGCATAGCCCATTGCCTGTGCCCCACAGACCAAAAATGCCACAGAAACTTTTTGCTTTCTTTCTTTTTTGAGAAAGAGTTTCACTCTTGTCGCCCAGGCTGGAGGGCAATGGTATGATCCGGGTTCACTGCACCCTCTGCCTCCCGGGTTCAAGTGATCCTCCTGCCTCAGCCTCCCTAGTAGTACCTGGGATTACAGGCGCGCACCACCACGCTCGGCTAATTTTTATATTCTTAGTAGAGATGAGGTTTCGCCATGTTGGCCAGGCTGGTCTCGAACTCCTGACCTCAGGTGATTCGCCCACCTCAGCCTCCCACAGTGCTAGGATTATAGGCGTGGGATTTTTGTCCTTTCTGATCATAGCTATGTTTTCCAGCCCCTAGAGCAGGGCCTGGCACACAGTAGGTGCTCAATTGTTGCTGAGTGAATGCATGTGTGAATGGGGCTCAGGTGAGCAGCGACTTGGTACCCCAGCCCCTGACCCCTGTCCCATCCCCACAGCCCCACGGGCAGCAGTCGCTACGCCTCCTCCGGGGAGCTGAGCCAGGGAAGCTCACAGCTGAGTGAGGACTTTGACCCTGATGAGCACAGCCTGCAGGGCTCCGAGTTGGAGGACGAGCGGGACCGGGACTCCTACCACTCCTGCCACAGCTCGGTCAGCTACCACAAAGACTCACCTCGCTGGGACCAGGATGAGGAGGAGCTAGATGAGGACCTGGAGGACTTCCTGGAGGAGGAGGAGCTTCCTGAAGACGAGGAGGAGCTGGAGGAGGAGGAGGAGGTGCCTGATGATTTGGGCAGCTATGCCGAGCGTGAAGAAGTGGCTGTGGCTGAGCCCAAAGACTTCAAGCGCATCAGCCTCCCACCAGCTGCCCCGGGGAAGGAGGACAAGGCCCCAGTGGCACCCACCGAGGCCCCCGACGTGGCCAAGGTAGCCCCCAAGCCAGCCACGCCCGAGGAGGTGCCTGCAGCCGAGGAAATTCCTGAACCTGAGCCCCCCAAGGCCGAGGAGAGGTAACAGGAGGGGGCCAAGGGGGGCCGAGGGGCTGTCTCAAGGTCACAGAGTCAGCTGGGCTACAATGGGGTTGGCGTCGACCTAGGTAGTTGCCGGGGCTAAAGATGTCACAGGGCCTTGGGTTTCTTAAAAGGATCAGAGGTGACAGGGCAGAGTAGGGGGTCAAAGAGAGTTCGGGGGAGTCATGAAGGAGCCTTAGAGGTTGTGACCTTAGAGGTTGCTGGGGTCAGAGAGGTCAAGATCCTGGGCAAAAGGGGGCCAGAGGGGCTGGGCTGGTGACAAGGAAGCTGAGGAACAGTGACAGTGTGAAAGAAGCATTCGGTGTGTGGGAATGGATGGGGGCACCGAGCCGGGTCAGGGGACACAGGTGGGTCCCAGTGTCTCTGAGGCATCAGAGGTACCATGAGGAGCCTGCATCGCTTGCACAGCTGGGGGTTGAGGGAAGGTCGGGAGTCCTGGAGAGCCAGCCCAGAGGCTCATAGCGTTCCCTGCCTCAGTTTCAGGCCGAGAGAGGATGAGGAAGGCCAGGAGGGGCAGGACTCCATGTCCAGGGCCAAAGCCAACTGGCTGCGTGCCTTCAACAAGGTGCGGATGCAGCTGCAGGAGGTGAGTGATATGCCTGGCCCTGACCCGGCCTCTTCCCGGCCACATCCAGCCAGGCCACGCCCAATTCCACGCCCACACATGGTTTGGCCACACCCACACATAGATTGGCCATGCCCAACACCCCACCGGTACCCAAGCCCAGTCTGGGCCTGCCCAGTGCAGTGCCCACACTGTGCCCATGCCCTGCCCACCCTGCCCCTTCCTTAGCCCCACGCACACACGGCCCAGGGCATCCCTATGGCCCATCCACACCAGCCGGGTTATGCTCACTCCCAAACCCCACACCAAGTCTGGTCCCACTTATCCCCAGCACAGCCTTCTCCCCAGTGTCAGCCTGGGCTTTCTAAGTCAAGAGGGAGAAGAGATAACGGGCTGAAATAGGGCTGAAGTTATGGTTAGGGATCAAGGTCAGGGTCAGTTCAGCCATCAAAGATCAGAGGTCAGGGTTAGAATCGGTGTCAGGCAAAGGGGTCAGTGCTTAGGGTCAAATTGGAGGTCATTGTCAGGGTTAGGGAAAGGTCTGTGACTGGGACAGTAGGGGAGTAAGAATCAAGGAAAGGGCCGGGCGCAGTGGCTCACGCCTGTAATCCCAGCACTTTGGGAGGCTGAGGCAGGTGGATCACGAGGTCAAGAGATTGAGACCATCCTGGTCAACATGGTGAAACCCCGTCTCTACTAAAAATACAAAAAATTAGCTGGGCATGGTGGCGCGTGCCTGTAGTCCCAGCTTCTCGGGAGGCTGAGGCAGGAGAATTGCCTGAACCCAGGAGGCGGAGGTTGTGGTGAGCCGAGATCGCGCCATTGCACTCCAGCCTGGGTAACAAGAGTGAAACTGTCTTTAAAAAAAAAAAAGAATCAAGGAAAGAATTAACATTAGGGCTGGGTGACTGTTTAGATGGGCAGCAGGGTGGAGGCCATTCATTTATTCCTTCATTCAGCTCACCCTGGGCTGGGGACAGCAGTGTGCTCTTCAGGGTTACCCTCCAAACAGCAGTGGGACTGGCAGGAGGAGATTCTAAACAGACCTCCCAGAGGCTTAAACCATCAAATGTCAGGGCCGCAGAAGTACCAAACAAAACTTCCTATCAGTTTTAAAACAGAAATCCAGTCGCCAGGCTCAGTGGCTCACACCTGTGGTCCCAGCACTTGGGGAGGCTGAGGCAGGAGGATCATGAGGTCAAGAGTTCAAGGCTAGCCTGGCTAAGAGACCAGCCTGGCCATCATGATGAAACCCCATCTCTACTAAAAATACAAAAATTAGCTGGGCGTGGTGGCTGGCACCTGTAATCCCAGCTACTCAGGAAGCTGAGGCAGGAGAATTGCTTAAACCCAGGAGGCAGAGGTTACAGTGACCCCTGATTGTGCCATTGCACTCCAGCCTGGGTGACAGAACTAGACTCTGACTAAAAGAACAAAACAAAACAAAATGAAAACCCTTAAAAGAGAAATCTGTTTTTTGACTCAGCGATATATACATATGGTTCTAAATTAGAAAGATGAAGAGTACACAGTGAAAAGGCGATTGGATAACTTTTACTAGGTCAGCAAATTATATTAAGCAAATAGCAGCTACTATTGGAACAATGTGATATGACAAGAAAAACAAACTATGGAACTAGTGATATGACAAGAAAAAGAAACATGGAGGGCTCTCTGGGTTTCACAGGAAAAGCACAAAACTAATCCAAGGCAATCAGAAAACTCCCTGGAGGAGATGACACTTAAGGAAAATTGATGTCCAAAATAATTCAACAATATTTCAGGAGCTCACATCTGTAATCCCAGCACTTTGGGAGGTCAAGGCAGGAGGATCACTTGAGCTCAGGAGTTCAAGACCAGCCTGGGCAACATAGTGAGACCTCATCTCTAGAAAAAAGGGAAAAAATATTTCAGGAGCTGAGTGGGGTGGATCACACCTGTCGTCCCAGCTACTCAGGAGGCTGAGGCAGGAAGATTGTATGAGGCCAGGAGTTCAAGATCAGTCTGGGCAACATAGCAAGACTCTCTCTTTAAAAAAAATCATACACCCCCTCAATATTTCAGAACAGAAGAATGCTTCCCTCTCCCCCTGATAGGACTCCCATGTTAACTCTTTAGTTACAAGATAGAGGGAAGGTAAGGGATGTGGACCCTGGGTCTGGCTGAGACCTGAATGATAAACAGAGGCTGGTTGGGTGTGGAAGGTAAGAGGGCATACAAGCTGAAGTCACAACTCCTGGAAAGGGCCTGGGGCACGAGAGCAGATGAACCAGTGAGACTGTGAGACTGTAGGGAGTTTAAGGAGTAACCAATGAAGACACTGAGCTCCACTGAGGTAGGTGAAAGAGAGGCGCTTCTTTCTCCCCCAGCCCATCTTACAGATGAGCAAACTAAGGCCAGAGATAGCCAGGGAGCTTCCTAAAATCACTCAGCCAGGACTAGGATCCAGGCCATCTGACTCCCAGCCCAGAGGGGATCAGAAGTGGGTGTGGAGCCTGCTGTGGGGAGGGGAGGGACGACCACACTGGCCGTATCTGTCTGTCTGTCCTGCAGGCCCGGGGAGAAGGAGAGATGTCCAAATCTCTGTGGTTCAAAGGCGGGTGAGTGATGGAACTATGAGTGGTGGGAGGAAGTTTTGAACCCCGAGCTGAGCTCAAGGCTGGTTCGCGCCTGAGCCTCAGCCCAGAGAGGATGGGGAGGGGTTCCATCTAGACGGGGGACAGATGGAGCTTGGGCACAATATGTCAATTTCAAAGGCACACAACGATATGCAGATGCAAAAGACAGTCATCTTTGAAGATAGGGCCAGGTGCCCTGGCTCATGCCCATAATCCAAGCACTTTGGGAGGCTGAGGTGGGAGGATCATTTGAGGTCAGGAGTTTGAAACCGACCTGGCCAACATGGTGAAACCCCGTCTCTACTAAAAATACAAAAATTAGCCGGGCATGGTGGCGGGCACCTGTAATCCCAGCTACTTGGGTTGCTGAAGCAGGAGAATTGCATGAACCCGGGAGGCAGAGGTTGCAGTGAGCCGAGATTGCACCACTGCACGCCAGCCTGGGCAACAGCGAGGGACACTGTCTCAAAAATGAACAAATAAATATATAAAGCAGACACTGTTAGGAACTAGACATTATTGGGAAATATACACTATATATTTGTAATCCCAGAGCAAAGTTTTTTGCTTTGAGTCTATTTTTAAATCTCTTCAATTATTGCTACGGTGGGGACTCTTAAAGTCTTCAATGGGGCATGTGGTCACATCTAACTTCTTATGTTACAGATTTTCAGGTTAGAGGATGCACAGGATATTTTTAAAATATGCTCAGGTTTTAAAATAGCAGCACGATAGTGACCTTCCTTGTACACCCTTTGCAAACAGGCAGGGAGACAGCAGCTGGCACTCCTAAATGAGCAGGTGCCCTAGCTAGAGAGCCTGGGGTGCAGGGCCTGAAATGGGGATTGCTGTGCATGTGATTTATGAAGGATATTTCTCTCAGGAGAAAGCTGTCAGACTAAGGGAGACCGCCGAGAAAAGATGTGGCTTAGGCGTCTCTAAGCTCAGTCGGCTCCTGCAGAAAGCTTGGTAGCATGAATGGCCCTGTGGGCTTGTCTGGAGTCATTGGCTGCAGGCACCTATCTCATTAGCCAGTGAAAACCTTTTGGAACCGAGTGTGGTGGTTCATGTCTGTAATCCCAGCACTTTGGGAAGCTGAGGCAGGTGGATCACCTGAGGTCAGGAGTTTGAGACCAGCTTGCCCAACATAGAGAAACCCCGTCTCTACTACAAATACAAAAATTAGCTGGGTGTGGTGGTGCATGCTTATAATCCCAGCTACTTGGGAGGGTGAGGCTGGAGAATCGCTTGAGACTAGGAGTTCAAGACCAGCTTTGGCAACATAGTGAGACCCCCATCTCTTAAAAAAAAAAAATTTTTTTTTTGAGATGGAATTTTGCTCTTGTTGCCCAGGCTGGAGTGCAACGGTGCGATCTTCGCTCACGGCAACCTCCACCTCCTGGGTTCAAGCGATTCTCCTGCCTCAGCCTCCCAAGTAGCTGGGATTACAAGCATGCACCGCCACACCCAGCTAATTTTTGTATTTTTAGTAGAGACAGGGTTTCCCCATGTTGGTCAGGTTGGTCCTGAACTCCCGACCTCAGGTGATCTGCCTGCCTCTGCCTCCCAAAGTGCTGGGATTACAGGCATGAGCCATTGTACCCAGCCCAGATTTTTTTTTTTATTAGCTGGGTGTGGGCCAGGTGCAGTAGTTCATGCCTGTAATCCCGGCACTTTGGGAGGCCAATGTGGGTGGATCACCTGAGGTTGTGGGTGGATCATCTGAGGTTAGGAGTTCAAGACCAGCCTGGCCAACATGGTGAAAGCCCGTCTCCACTAAAAATACAAAAATTAGCCCAGTGCGGTGGCGTGTGACAGTAATCCCAGCTACCTGGGAGGCTGAGGCACAAGAATCGCTTGAACTCAGGAGGTTGCAGTGAGCTGAGATCGAAGGACTGCACTCCAGCCTGGGCAACAGAGCGAGACTCTGTCTCGGAAAAAAAAAAAGGTTTCGTTTATATTTTAGTATATAATTTAGGTTTGTCTTAACTTACATTTCATTCAAGTGGGCAACTACGTTATGTCCCCATTTTTCAGATGAGGAAATCGAGGCTCTCCATTTCTTTTTTTTTTTGAGGCGGAGTTTCGCTCTTGTTACCCAGGCTGGAGTGCAATGGCGCGATCTCGGCTCACCGCAACCTCCGCCTCCTGGGTTCAGGCAATTCTCCTGCCTCAGCCTCCCGAGTAGCTGGGATTACAGGCAGGCACCACCATTCCCAGCTAATTTTTTGTATTTTTAGTAGAGACGGGGTTTCACCTTGTTGACCAGGATGGTCTCGATCTCTTGACCTCGTGATCCACCCGCCTCAGCCTCCCAAAGTGCTGGGATTCCAGGCGTGAGCCACCGCGCCCGGCCCTGGGGTCTCCATTTCTTAGAACTGCTATCACGAAGTACCACAGACGGGTGGCTTAAAACCACAACAGTGTTTTGTCTCGCAATTCTGGAGGCCAGAAGTCTGAAATGAAGGCGCTGGTTGGGCCACGATCCCTCTGGAATCTGTAGAAGACAATTCCTCCCCTGCCTCTTGTAGCTTCTGGTGTTTGCTTGAAATCCTTGGCCACCAAGAAGATACTTGTTTGTAGATCGTCACTCTCTGCCTCTGTTGCCACGAAGCCACCTTCTTTCCATCCCTCTCTTCTAAGGACACCAGTCATATTAGATGAAGCATCTCCCCTAGCCCCATATGACCTTATCTTAACTAATTACATCTGTGACAACCCCATTTCCAAATAAGGTCACTTTCTGAGGTAGTAAGGGTTAAGGAATCAATGTATCTTTTTTTGTGGGACCCAATTCAACCCCTTAACACCTGGGGAGGTTGAGTGTTCTCCCCACGGCTCAGGTGATGTCTGTGTGAGGAATAGGGACAGCTGGGCCCTCAATGTCCCTCTATGTCTTGCAGCCCAGGGGGCGGTCTCATCATCATCGACAGCATGCCTGACATCCGCAAGAGGAAACCTATCCCGCTCGTGAGTGACCTGGTAAGCACCCGCCCACTTTACTCCCCTAGCAGAGCAGGCCTGCTATAAGCAGTGTGCAACCTGTGCAACTGCCCATGGTCAACCTGGGGTTGGGGACTAGCTAGGCATTCTCTGAGACTAATGTAGTCTGATTTCTACCCCCATGTGCTGCGTGGACACTTCAGGCCATGGTGAGTGATGGTGACATGGGCTCCCTGGGGTCTTCTCCCCAAACTGCCCCACTGGGATCTTGTAACAGGCCCCCACTTCATGGTTTCTGGGGGAACCTTGCCTTGTCCCTCTGTGTTGGAGGCTGTGAGTCGGGGTGTGGGGCTGCTCACTTTCCAGGGTCCCTTCTAACTCAAAGCCTCCATCATCTCCTAATTCTTTACTGGGTCTGGCCCGGATGCTGTCGGTGACCTGTTTCCAATTTGCGGTTGCGGCTCCAAAATATGGCTTCGGGCCCCATGTGTGGCTGTGAACCTTCCCGGTGGTGATCTCATGGATGTCAACCCCCCGACTCCCTCTTCTGTGACCTCCCTAGTCCCTGGTCCAGTCCAGGAAAGCGGGCATCACCTCGGCCTTGGCCTCCAGCACGTTGAACAACGAGGAGCTGGTACGTGGGGCACCTCTTTTTCCCCGGGGTCAGGGATGAACTGGGCTGGGAGCTTCTGGAAGTGTCTAAACCTCTGTGGGTCCGCGGGAAGAGGAGGCAGGGAGGGGAGGGGAGCAAGACAGGGACAGCACGAGGTTAGGGCCCCGAACCGCACCCCTCCCTCCCTGCAGAAAAACCACGTTTACAAGAAGACCCTGCAAGCCTTAATCTATCCCATCTCATGCACGACGCCGCACAACTTCGAGGTGTGGACGGCCACCACGCCCACCTACTGCTACGAGTGCGAGGGGCTGCTGTGGGGCATCGCGAGGCAGGGCATGCGCTGCACCGAGTGCGGCGTCAAGTGCCACGAGAAGTGCCAGGACCTGCTCAACGCCGACTGCCTGCAGCGTAAGCGCAGGGCCCGAGCGCAGGGCTGCGGGTTGGCGTGGGAAGCGCCGGGGCTTGCAGCTTGCATTGGAAGAAAGCCTGAAGGAGCAAGGCCATGGGTGGGGCACCATGGGGCGGGGCAGGGGCGGGGAGTCGTGGGGCAAGGGAGGGACCCGCTGAAGGGGAGGGGTGGGGCTGAAGGGACAAAACTCCCTGGGGAAAGGGCTAGGGCGTCGAGGGATGGGGTAAGAAGCTGCGAGGGTGTCAGAGAGGGATGGGGGAGAGCTCAGGGACTAGCTAGGTGGTGCAAAGGACAGGCTTAGTGAGAAGAGGCGGCTCCCCTGGATAAAAATGGGTTAGCTAGGGGTAGCTCTGAGAGGAAGAGGGGCTCAGAGAAGGAAGGGGCTCAGAGTGAGAGAGGACTGTGGAGGAGGGAGTTGGAAGGCGGAGGGGTCTCAGAGAAGGGGGGCTCGGAGATGTGCAGGGGACTCACAGGAGTGGAGATCAGAGATGGGGAGGGGATTCAGAGGAGTGGGGCTCGGAGAGGTGGGATTCAGAGGAGGTGGGGACTCGGGGTGGGGCCCAGAGGGGGTGGGGCCCAGAGGGGGTGGGGACTCAGAGAGGGGGCGGGTACTCAGAGGGGTAGGGCCCAGAGAGGGGGTGGAGACTCAGGGGGTGGGGCTCAGAGAGGTGGGATTCAGAGGGGGCGGGGACTCAAAGGGGTAGGGCCCAGAGAGGGGGTGGAGACTCGGAGGGGTGGGGTTCAGAGAGGGGGCGGGGATCAGGGGTGGGGCTCAGATGGGGCGTGGACTCAAAGGGGTGGGGCTCAGAGAGGGGACGGGGACTTAGAGGGGTGCGGCTTAGGGGTGCCAAAAACCTGTGGGGATTCCAAGGGGCGGAAGGCAGAGAAGGGCAAGACTCAGGGACATGGGGGCTCAGAGGAGCGTGGCCTGAGAGGAGTCGGAAAGGCTAAGGGTCTGGATGGGTGGTACAGAGAGCAGGTAGGAAACCGGCTTCAGGGGTGACACCGGAGCCCCCGCGGTTGATGTATGGGGCGGGGCCCTCGCCCTGGTGAGGGGCCACAGGGCAGGCGCACTGGGGTCAGTGCCGGCCTCTGGCGTCCTCAGGGGCCGCGGAGAAGAGCTCCAAGCACGGGGCGGAGGACCGGACGCAGAACATCATCATGGTGCTCAAGGACCGCATGAAGATCCGGGAGCGCAACAAACCCGAGATCTTCGAGCTCATCCAGGAGATCTTCGCGGTGACCAAGACCGCGCACACGCAGCAGATGAAGGCGGTCAAGCAGAGCGTGCTGGACGGCACATCCAAGTGGTCCGCCAAGATCAGCATCACTGGTGAGGGGGCGGGGGCCGCCACAGGGCCCCTCCTTCTCCACCCGCTGAGGCCTGTCCCTCTCCTTTGCAGCAGGTCCTCGATCTCATCCATTCCATCCCATGTCCGTGTGTGCACGCATATGGGGGGACATGCGTACCTCCAAATGCCTGTTCATGGGACTGTATCCGGGTGTGTCTTGAATGGTGCCCTCCAGAATGAGACCCAAGAAGAATTGTGGGTGCATAGTTTATCTGGAAAGTGACCCTAGAAAGCCCTGGTGAGGGGCAAGGACTTGAGACAGGGTTGGAAGGTGCCCTGGAGGAGACACCGTGGGGCAGACCATGCTGTAGGCCACCAGCTCAGCCCACCCTGGGGTCATTCATGCAGTTCAGTGTGGCCCCACTCAGGGGTGAGGATACTGGTATTTCTCCACACCCAGACTCATGTGGATTTACCCATAAACAGCTCCGAGGATGAGGATTTCAGGGTATGTGAGTTATCCAGGAAGTGACCCCAGGATGAAGCTGGGGTGGTGAGTCAGGGAGGGAAGGCACCCTGCAGGGGGCGCCAACGAGCAGGAGATCTCGGGGGCAATGGGTTCTTCTGGGGGTCCGACCTCGGGGAGCACACACCTGAAAGAGGTCCCACCCACAGGCAAGCGGGCTGAGGCACCTTCCCATTCTTCATGGGTTGGGTGCTCCCCCCTTGTTAACTCTAGCAAGGCGAGGTGAGGTGGCCCACACCTGTAATCCCAGCGCTTTGGGAGGCTGAGGCGGGCGGATCACCTGAAGTTAGGAGTTCAAGACCAGCCTGGTCAACATGCTGAAACCCCATCTCTACTAAAAATGAAAAAAAAAATTAGTCGGACATGGTGGCACATGCTTGTAATCCCAGCTACTTGGGAGACTGAGGCAGGAGAATCACTGGAACCCAGAAGGCAGAGGTTGCAGTGAGCCAAGTTCAAGGCACTGCACTCCAGCCTGGGTGACAAGAGCAAACTCCATCTCAAAAACAAACTAACAAAAAACCTCGTTAGCAAGTCCAGCATGCCTGCCATTGCTCTCCAGCCATGCTGCAGGTGTCCCTGTTATCAGCCTGCAGCGTGTGGCAGCAACTGTCCCGGCATGCCTCGCTCCTTGAGCTCACGCCTGTGTATGCCCTCTGTGTCTTCCAGTGGTCTGTGCCCAGGGCTTGCAGGCAAAGGACAAGACGGGATCCAGTGACCCCTATGTCACCGTCCAGGTTGGGAAGACCAAGAAACGGACAAAAACCATCTATGGGAACCTCAACCCAGTGTGGGAGGAGAATTTCCACTTGTAAGTGCCTGGCTGGGTCCCTGGGCCCGTGCGGGGCTCCCTGCTGGGACAGCCGAAAGGGGGCTCCAAAGACAGGGCTCACGCTGGGCACCTGACCCCCACCCCTGCCTCCTCCTCCCGCCACAGTGAATGTCACAATTCCTCCGACCGCATCAAGGTGCGCGTCTGGGATGAGGATGATGACATCAAATCCCGTGTGAAACAGAGGTTCAAGAGGGAATCTGACGATTTCCTGGGGCAGACGATCATTGAGGTGCGGACGCTCAGCGGCGAGATGGACGTGTGGTACAACCTGGGTGAGAGAAGCCGGGTTCTGAAAGGGATGGGGATGGGTCCCAGGGATCCAGCCAGAGTGTGGAGCCCATGAAGAGGGGAGAGATGCAATCTCCAGAGAAGTTTGGTCAAGGAGCACGATCTGATGGGGGAGGCAGGGTCTAGGAGCCCAATCTGAGGAGGCAGGAAGCACCCAGGCAGGGAGATTTAGCAGAGCCCAGAAATTTCTTAGCTCAGCTTAGAAAGGAGGGTAGGGACAGAATCTCTGTGTCCCAGTCTAATGGGGGAGGCAGGAAGCAAGACCTGGGAATCCTAGTCTGAGGGAGAGGCACAGACCTGCAAACCAAATCTAAGAAGGAAGATTGAGCTTTAAGAATCCAAGCTGGGGCTGGGTGCAGTGGCTCATACCTATAATCCCAATACTTTGGTAGGCGGAGGTGGGCGGATCACCTGAGGTCAGGTGTTCAAGACCAGCCTGGCCAACGTGGTGAAACCCCATCTCTACTAAAAATACAAAAATTAGCCGGGTATGGTGGTGGGCACCTGTAGTCCCAGCTACTCAGAACGCAAAGGCAGGAGAATCGCTTGTACCTGGGAGGCGGAGGTTGCAGTGAGCCAAGATCACACCACTGCACTCCAACCCCGACAACAAAAGCAAAATTCCATCTCCAGAAAAAAAAAAAAAGGAATCCAGGTTGGGGGCACCAGGCAGTGGCTCACATCTGTGATCCTATCATTTTGAGAGGCTGAGGCAGGCTAATCGAGTCCAGGAGTTCGAGACCAGCCTGGGGAACATAGTGAAACCCTGTCTCTATAAAACAGAAAAATTAGCTGGGCAGGGTGACACACACCTTTAGTCCCAGCTACTCTGGAAGCTAAGGTGTGAGGATCACCTGAGCCTGAGGTAAAGACTGCAGTGAGCTGTGATCGCCCTGCTGCGCTCCAGCCTGGGGAACAGAGTGAGAACCTTTCTCAAAAAAACGAATTCGGCCAGGTGCAGTGGCTCACGCCTGTATTCCCAACACTTTGGGAGGCAGAGGTGGGTGGATCACTTGAGGTCAGAAGTTCGAGACCAGACTGTCCAACATGACGAAACCGTGTCTCTAGTAAAAATACAAAAATTAGCCAGGCGTGGTGGCTTGTGCCTGTAATCCCAGCTATTTAGAAGGCTGAGGCAGGAGAATTGCTTGAACCTGGGAGGCAGAGGTTGTAGTGAGCCAAGATTGCACCACTGCACTGCAGCCTGGTGACAGAGCTAAACTCTATCTCAAAAAAAAAAAAAAAAAAAAAAAAAAAGGCCAGCATAGTGGCTCACGCCTGTAATCCCAGCACTTTGGGAGGCCAAGGTGGGTGGATCACTTGGTCAGGAGTTCCAAGACCAGACTGGTCAACATGGTGAAACCCCATCTCTACTAAAAAATACAAAAATTAGCTGGGCATGGTGGCTCATGCCTGTAATCCCAGCTACTTGGGAGGCTGAGGTAGGAGAATTGCTTGAACTGGGACCCGGGAGGCAGAGGTTACAGTGAGCCGAGATCACGCCACTGCACTCCAGCCTGGGCTACAGAGCGAGATTCCATCTCGAAAAAAAAGGAAAAAGAAAAAACAAAAAGAAAATGAGTAGAATCTGGGGAGTCCAATCTAATGAGGCAGGGTGTATGAGCCTAATCTGAAGGGGTTGAAAGGACCCAGCCTGAGAGGGTTGAGTAGAGCCCAGAAATCTCTTAGGTTGAAAGAAATCTACATATCCCATTCTGACGGGGAAGGCAGGAGACAAGACTTGGGGGTCCTAGTCAGAGGAGAGAGGCACAGACCCAGGAACCGTGTCTAAGATGTGTAGCTTCTGGGGAGCGTGATTTGATGGGGGAGGCAGGTCCTGGGAGCTCAGACTGGGCAAGAAGCAGGGCCTAGAGCTGCTAGCCTAAGGAGGGAGGCACACACCCAGGAACTTAATCGGAGTGAAGAAGCAAGGTCTGGGATCCTTGTTTGAAGGGAGAAACAGGGCTTAAGGAATTCTAGCCTAAGCAGAGAGACTCAAGCCTGGGAGCCAATCAGAAGAGAAACACCCAGGCCTGAGTTTCCAAAGGTCTGGGAGGACTACGGAATCGTGCATCTATTAAAAATTGCCCACAGCTATAGTGAGAAGTTCTGACTCTGGTCATCCTTTTCTGCCCCGCAGACAAGCGAACTGACAAATCTGCCGTGTCGGGCGCCATCCGGCTCCACATCAGTGTGGAGATCAAAGGCGAGGAGAAGGTGGCCCCGTATCACGTCCAGTATACCTGTCTGCACGAGGTGAGCTTCACTGCTCAGCCCCTCCCATGCCACCTCCACTCACCACTTCTTCCTGCCCTTCCTCTTTCTGGCCACACTATCCACACTCTCTTGGCCCTCTGAGACTGCCTACCCTGCCATTCCCTTTATATCCATCAAGGTCCAGATTTAGGGTCGCCTCCTCTGGGAAGCCCTCCTTGGCCTCCAGGTTGACTCTCAGTACTCACCATCAGATTCTTCCTTCTGTTCCAGCCCTAACTACTCAGGATTGGGCTGTTTGTGTCTGGGTATGTCTCTTCCGGCTGCCTAGGGGTTCCTGGAAAGAACTCTATTCCCAGGATCTAGTTTGTTGAATGAATGCTGGTGAATGAGTGAATGATTGAATAGATGAATGAGTGAGGAGGTAGATGAAAGGATGGATGGAGAGATGGATGAGTTGATGGGTAGATTCGTGACTAGATGAATGATAGATGGACAGATGGATGGATATGTGATTGAACTATTGGAAGTACAGATGCATGGATGGGTGAATTTTGGGGTAATTGGATAGATGATCGATGGATATAGAAGAATGATGGATGGATAACTTGATAGGTGGATAGCTAGAATGGTGGACAGACGATTGAATGGGTAGATAGATGAGTTGTTGGATGAGAACGTTAAGCTGTATTGGATAGGATGGATGGATGTGTGGTTGAATTATTAGAAGGAAGGATGAGTAGATAGGTGAACTTGTTGATAGTTGGGTGGGTAGATAGGTAGATGGATGGATGGGTGGGTGGGTGGATGCATGGAAGGATGTGTGGTTGAATTATTAAAAGTATTGAAAAGTGTTTATAATTTTTGAGTATTTAGATAGATGGATTGTTGTGAGTAGTTGGTGGACAGATGAAGAATAGATGCATAGATGGATGGATGGATAAGTTGATGGGTAGATGGATGGTTGGTTTATGGAAGAATGAATGATTGGACAGGTGGATTAAGTTATGGATCAATGTATGGGATGGATGGATAGATGGATGGATGGGTGGATGGATGGATGGATGGATGGATGGATGGATGGATGGATGGATAGGTGGATGGATGGATGGGTGGATGGGTGGATGGGTGGATGGGTGGGTGGATGGATTGATGGGTGGGTGGGTGGGTGGGTGGATGGATGGATGGATAGATGGATGATGAGTGGGTGGATGGAGGGATGGATGGATGGGTGGATGGATGGGTGGATAGATGGATGGATGGATGGGTGGATGGATGGGTGGGTGGGTGATGGGTGGATGGATAGGTGGATGGATGGGTGGGTGGATGGGTGGGTGGATGGATGGATGGATGGGTGGATGGATGGGTGGGTGGGTGATGGGTGGATGGATAGGTGGATGGATGGGTGGATGGATGGGTGGGTGGATGGATGGATGGATGGGTGGATGGATAGGTGGATGGATGGGTGGATGGATGGGTGGGTGGATGGATGGATGGATGGGTGGATGGATGGGTGGGTGGGTGGTGGGTGGGTGGATGGATGGATGGTTAAATTACTGAAAGGTTGGAAGAGTGAATGGGTGGAATGTGGGGTAGTTGTATGGATGGATGTGTGGATGGATGAGAGTAGATGACTGAATTAATGAGTAAACAAGCAGGCATATGATGTAAGCTGCCCCAGACCCTAGGACCTCTGACCCCTGGCGACCCTTGCACTCTCCATGATGATGCCTTATCCCCCATGGTGGCAGAACCTCTTCCACTTCGTGACGGATGTGCAGAACAATGGGGTCGTGAAGATCCCGGATGCCAAGGGCGACGATGCCTGGAAGGTTTACTACGATGAGACAGCCCAGGAGATTGTGGACGAGTTTGCCATGCGCTATGGCGTCGAGTCCATCTACCAAGCCATGACGTGAGGCCACAGGCTGGGGTGGACACGAGGGCGAGGTGCATGAAACAAGAGGGAGGTCACCAAGAGGGCACTGGCAGCCAGGCGGGGTGGGTCATGCCTGTAATCCCAGCACTTTGGGAGGCCAAGGCGGGCGGATCATGCAGTCAGGAGTTCGAGATCAGCCTGGCCAATATGGTGAAACCCCATCTCTACTAAAAATACAAAATTAGCTGGGCATGGTGGCGTGCGCCTCTAGTTCCAACTACTCAGAAGGCTGAGGCAGAAGAATTACCTGAACCCGGGAGGCAGAGGTTGTAGTGAGCCAAGAGTGCTCCATTACGCTCCAGGCTGGGTGACAGAGGGAAACTGTCTTAAAAAAAAAAAAAGAGGGGGGGCATTAGCAAGTCTGCTGTGGGAGGGATTCTTAGGGGGAGGAGCCAGAGAGGAAGTGGGCGTGGTGGTGGGGGGGTTTCCGTAATTCCCCAGATCAGGAGAGCGCTGTGATTGACACCTGGAGTGACAGGGAAGAGAGGGAGGAGTTAGAAGCTGAGATAGAGGTGGGGAACAGTGGCTCAAGCCTGTAATCCCAGCACTTTGGGAGGCCGAGGCGGGCGGATCAGCAGGTTAAGAGATCGAGACCATCTTGGCCAACATGGTGAAACCCCGTTTCTACTAAAAATACAAAAATTAGCCAGGTGTGGTGGCGCGTGCCTGTAACCCCAGCTACTCAAGAGGTTGAGACAGGAGAATCACTTGAACCCAGGGGGTGGAGATTGCATGAGCTGAGATTGCACCACTCAACTTCAGCCTGGGTGACAGAATGAGACTCCATCTCAAAAAGAAAAAAAGAGAAGCAGAGTTAGAGCAACTCAGATGGATATAATGTTGGAGGGGAGAGGAGATGCAGAGACTCCAAGGACAGAATCAGGCGGGGGGTGGATTGGGTGGTAATGGAGAGCCACTCACAGACGCTGTCTTGGAGGCATTCTGGGGGGAACTTGGTCCATCCTGGCTGGACCCCTGGCCCAGTGCCTCCTGGTCCCTCTCTCCAGCCACTTTGCCTGCCTCTCCTCCAAGTATATGTGCCCGGGGGTGCCCGCCGTCATGAGCACCCTGCTCGCCAACATCAATGCCTACTACGCGCACACCACCGCCTCCACCAACGTGTCTGCCTCCGACCGCTTCGCCGCCTCCAACTTCGGGGTCAGTCCTGGGGACTGGGACTGGAGAATGAGGGACAGCCCAACTTGATGCCGGTCAGAACTGATGTGACTCCTGGGTCCCCAGTCTAGACCAGATTGCTGTGTGACTTTCCACCAGTCACTTGCTGTCTCTGAGCCTCCATTGATTCCTCTGTAGAATGCTATAGAATGGAGGCCGGTCGAGGTGGCTCATGCCTGTAATCCCAGCACTTTGGGAGGCTAAGGTGAGCGGATCACTTGAGGCCAGGAGTTTCAGACCGGCCGGGCCAACATGGTGAAAACCCATCTCTACTAAAAATCCAAAGAAAATTAGCCGGGCGTGGTGGCCTGTGCCTGTAGTCCAAGCTGCTTGGGAGGCTGAGGCAGGAGAATCGCGTGAGCCTGGAGTCAGAGGTTGCAGTGAGCTGAGATCGTGCCACTGCACTCCAGCCTGGGCGACAGAGCGAGACTCTGTCTCAAAAAAATAAACATAAGAGGATGCAATTGAATGGAAATGGATATTATGAGGGTGGTGGATGAGGTGTACTTAGTGTACAGTAGGCGCTCAGCCAGCATGGCAGCCAAGTCCTGCCCCAGCCATCCTCCCGCCTCCCCTTCCTCCTCAGAAAGAGCGCTTCGTGAAACTCTTGGACCAGCTGCATAACTCTCTGCGGATTGACCTCTCCATGTACCGGGTAGGAAGTGCGTGCATGAGGATTTCCTGGCCCTGCGCACGTGTGTGTGCCTGGAGGGGAAAGCTACCGGCAGGTGTGTGCGTGAGGGGACCCATCTCCACACTTACGATGTGTTCCTCTGGCCCCTGTGGGATTTAACACATCTCCAAGCAGACCCCCAGTCACTTCGAGGTGCTCTAATCAACCCCCAACCTGAAACCAGGGAGGCTTTGTATCCCCTTAAAAAGCAGTCTTCCATCCTCCCCCAGCCTTCTTCCATAACCCCACCTCCCTTCCTGTTTCCAACAGAATAACTTCCCAGCCAGCAGCCCGGAGAGACTCCAGGACCTCAAATCCACTGTGGACCTTCTCACCAGCATCACCTTCTTTCGGATGAAGGTAGGGAAGGGTCCGGTTGTGTTTGCCCTCCAAGGAAGGTTCTCCAGGATTCCTAGCTCTCGGGACAAGTGACATTTCTCCCGGAGAATCAAAGCCTTTCTCAGTAACCTTCTCCCTCCATTCTACTTCATTTCCTTAAACCTAAAATGACTTGCAGTCACTTCTGGGGACCTCCTGTCCCAGCTATGGCCACCTATGCCTCTCTCCCTCTCTTCAGGTACAAGAACTCCAGAGCCCACCCCGAGCCAGCCAGGTGGTAAAGGACTGTGTTAAAGCCTGCCTTAATTCTACCTACGAGTACATCTTCAACAACTGTCACGAACTCTACAGCCGGGAGTACCAGACAGACCCGGTGAGACCCTAGATGGGTCAGAAGGGAACAGGGACACCAATGAGACACAGGCTCAAGTCCCAGCCCCTCCCCTTCCTGTGGGATTTAACTCTTCTGAACCTCAGTATCTTACTCTGTAAAATGGAATCATTGACCCACATCTCAGGATCAGGGAGAAGAGTTCATGAGCCATAAGCTTTAGATAAAATATAGTAGGCACTTGGTACACTTGGTTACATAGTTGAGTTTGGCATAAAAAAAATTTTTTTTTAAATTTTTTTGAGATGAAGCTTCACCCTCGTTGCCCAGGCTGGAGTGCAGTGGTGTGATCTCCACTCACTGCAACCTTTGCCTCCCGAGTTTAAGTAATTCTCCTGCCTCAGCCTCCTGAGTAGCTGGGATTACAGGTCCCCGCCACCACACCTGGCTAATTTTTTGTATTTTTAGTAAAGATGGGGTTTCGCCATGTTGGCCAGGCTGGTCTCGAACTCCTGACCTCAGGTGATCCACCCATCTCAGCTTCACAAAGTGCTGGGATTATAGGCATGAGCCACTGTGCCCGGCCTGGCATAAAAATTTATGTCTGGCATACACAATCAATGTTGGGTTTAATTGAATTTATTTATAATTTTGAGATGAGGTCTCACTCTGTTGCCCTGGCTGGAGTGTGGTGATACGATCATGGCTCACTGCAGGCTCGACTTCCCAGGCTCAAGCGATCCTCCCACCTCAGCCTCCCAAGTAGCTGGGACTGTAGGCACACGCCACCATGCCCGGCTAATTTTTGTATTTTTGTAGAGAAGGCATTCCAGTATCTTGCCCAGGCTGGTCTCGAACTCCTGGCTCAAGTGATCGTCCCACCTCAGCCTCCCAAAGTGCTAGGATTACAGGCAGGCGCCACCACCCGTGCGGAGTTATGGCCTGCTCTGAGGGAAAGATGTACAAACTGGAAATATACAAACAGGGATGATTAGTATTGAGATGGCAGGATCTCGGGAGGCTGTGGGAGCTGGAGGCAGCCCTTATCCCACATTCTGATAGGCTGTAACACACAAGCTGTGTTCAGGTCAGTCTGAAGGCAGCCCTTATCCCACGTTCTGATAGGCTGTAACACACAAGCTGTGTTCAGTTCAGTCTGAAGGCAGCCCTTATCCCACGTTCTGATAGGCTGTAACACACAAGCTGTGTTCAGGTCAGTCTGAAGGCAGCCCTTATCCCACGTTCTGATAGGCTGTAACACACAAGCTGTGTTCAGGTCAGTCTGAAGGCAGCCCTTATCCCACGTTCTGATAGGCTGTATGTAACACACAAGCTGTGTTCAGGTCAGGCTGAAGGCAGCCCTTATCCCACGTTCTGATAGGCTGTAACACACAAGCTGTGTTCAGGTCAGTCTGAAGGCAGCCCTTATCCCACGTTCTGATAGGCTGTAACACACAAGCTGTGTTCAGGTCAGTCTGAAGGCAGCCCTTATCCCACGTTCTGATAGGCTGTATGTAACACACAAGCTGTGTTCAGGTCAGGCTGAAGGCAGCCCTTATCCCACGTTCTGATAGGCTGTAACACACAAGCTGTGTTCAGGTCAGGCTGAAGGCAGCCCTTATCCCACGTTCTGATAGGCTGTAACACACAAGCTGTGTTCAGGTCAGTCTGAAGGCAGCCCTTATCCCACGTTCTGATAGGCTGTAACACACAAGCTGTGTTCAGGTCAGTCTGAAGGCAGCCCTTATCCCACGTTCTGATAGGCTGTAACACACAAGCTGTGTTCAGGTCAGTCTGAAGGCAGCCCTTATCCCACGTTCTGATAGGCTGTATGTAACACACAAGCTGTGTTCAGTTCAGTCTGAAGGCAGCCCTTATCCCACGTTCTGATAGGCTGTAACACACAAGCTGTGTTCAGGTCAGTCTGAAGGCAGCCCTTATCCCACGTTCTGATAGGCTGTATGTAACACACAAGCTGTGTTCAGTTCAGTCTGAAGGCAGCCCTTATCCCACGTTCTGATAGGCTGTAACACACAAGCTGTGTTCAGTTCAGTCTGAAGGCAGCCCTTATCCCACGTTCTGATAGGCTGTAACACACAAGCTGTGTTCAGTTCAGTCTGAAGGCAGCCCTTATCCCACGTTCTGATAGGCTGTATGTAACACACAAGCTGTGTTCAGGTCAGTCTGAAGGCAGCCCTTATCCCACGTTCTGATAGGCTGTATGTAACACACAAGCTGTGTTCAGTTCAGTCTGAAGGCAGCCCTTATCCCACGTTCTGATAGGCTGTAACACACAAGCTGTGTTCAGTTCAGTCTGAAGGCAGCCCTTATCCCACGTTCTGATAGGCTGTATGTAACACACAAGCTGTGTTCAGGTCAGTCTGAAGGCAGCCCTTATCCCACGTTCTGATAGGCTGTATGTAACACACAAGCTGTGTTCAGTTCAGTCTGAAGGCAGCCCTTATCCCACGTTCTGATAGGCTGTAACACACAAGCTGTGTTCAGTTCAGTCTGAAGGCAGCCCTTATCCCACGTTCTGATAGGCTGTAACACACAAGCTGTGTTCAGGTCAGTCTGAAGGCAGCCCTTATCCCACGTTCTGATAGGCTGTAACACACAAGCTGTGTTCAGTTCAGTCTGAAGGCAGCCCTTATCCCACGTTCTGATAGGCTGTAACACACAAGCTGTGTTCAGGTCAGTCTGAAGGCAGCCCTTATCCCACGTTCTGATAGGCTGTAACACACAAGCTGTGTTCAGTTCAGTTTGATTTCATTCTGTTCCTTTACATGCAGTTGACTAGCCTTGGAATCAGTCTCACTCTCACTTGAATTGAGTTCAGGTGAACTGGATTAAATTAGATTCTTTAGTTCAACCATAATCAGTTGAGTTCTGTTTCTTTCTATTTAGTTGACTTAAGTTAAAATTGTTCTTAGCTGGGTGTGGTGGTGCATACCTGTAATCCCAGCTACTCGGAAGGCTGAGGCAGGAGAATTGCATGAACCGGGGAGGCGGAGGTTTCAGTGAGCCGAGATCACACCACTGCACCCCAGCCCAGGCAATGAAAGTGAAACTCCGTCTCAAAAAAAAAAAAATGTTCTTGACAAATTAGTGAGCCAGGCTGGGCTCAGTGGCTCACACCTGTAATCTCAGCACTTTGGGAGGCCGAGGCAGGAGGATCCCATGAGGCCAGGAGCTCGAGACCAGTTTGGGCAATGTAGCAAGACCCCATCTCTGCAAAATATATAAAAATTAGCCAGGTGTGGTGGCACACCTGTAGTCCTGGCTACTTCAGAGGCTGAGGTAGGAGGATCACTTGAGCTCAGGAGTTCCAGTCTGTAGTAAGCCATGATTACACCACTGCACTCCAGGCTGAGTGACGGAGGGAGACCCTGTCTCTTAAAAGAAAAAAAAAAGTGAGCAGAACTAAGTTGATTGATTGCACTGAGCATTGAGTACAAATCCATTCATTCCCACTTAGTTCATTTGCATTCGAGTCAAGTTGTTCTCAACTGGGTTAAATTGTTTTGAGTTCGGATGAACTGGGTTGTTGGATTAGAAGCAATTGATGTCAGTTGAGTTGGGCTGAATTGGGCTCATTTCAGCTGATGACACTCATTCCCATTGATTAACAAACGCTGTGTTGAATTGGCCTGGGTATGTTAGGCCGCGTTTAGAAAGGCAGAATCGGATTGGGTTGACTTGGTGCAGAGTTGAGTTCAAGTCGATTTATTTCCATTGTTTTGATTTGGGTTAATGTTGGTCTTGGACAAGTTGATTAGGTTCAATCCAATGGAGTTCATTTGAGTTTAATTCGATCCAGTTAGGCTGAATTTCACTCCATTCGGTATAATTGCTCAAGTTCAATTCCGTTGATTCAACATCCAGGAGAACTGACTTCCGTTAAGCTAAGTGGGCTTGATTTGCATTCACTTCCGTTCCATTTGGTTTAGTGGAGCTGGGTTTGTCCAACTGAATTTGGTTTCATTTATTTCCATTCAGTTTTAGAGTGGAGTCTAAAAATCGTAAGCTTCATCAAGCTGCATTGACACGAGCTGTGTTTGGAGCCGTCTGTGAGTTTAGTTACTTTCTCTGTAGATGTCTTACCTGAACCATACACACGGTCATGGCAGCCGTTCCTCAACAACCTCCTCTTCCTGGGTAATAAACTGACCGAGGCACCGGTCTCTGCCCCCCTATAACCCAGGCCTCCACTGCCCATTTCAGGCCAAGAAGGGGGAAGTTCCCCCAGAGGAACAGGGTCCCAGCATCAAGAACCTCGACTTCTGGTCCAAGCTGATTACCCTCATAGTGTCCATCATTGAGGAAGACAAGAATTCCTACACTCCCTGCCTCAACCAGTGAGTCGTGTCTCTGTGTAGTTAATTATCTGGGTGTCGTCGTGTGTATGTATACGACTTTGTGTCTTGTGTGTCAAGGTGACCAGGTCTAATGATACAAGTGTACATACATGTACCTGGGGATAATGAGGGGTCTGATTGTGCCTGTGTGACGTTCACATATGGGTACAATTTGCAAACATAAACATAAAATTGGGTGTATGTTCACGATCACTGGTATAATCAGACATGTATTTCGTATGCATTCATTTGCGTGAATAACTGTATACAACTTTGTATGTGTGTAGGATAGTGTTGCTCAGACATTACTGTGCGCTACTCTACTATGTATTGTACATTTAAACTGCATTGTACTTACACGTATGGAGGTAAGTAATTTTGTATATTGTTGCGGTCAATGGGTTTTATTATTTTATGTGTATGTGTATACAGAATAGTGAACATACTTCAACATACAATATTGTACAGTATACAAGCTTGTGTGGTTTTGTGGGGATATGTTCACAGTTTCCATTTGTGGACTTAAACGTCTGTAGGATTTTCATTTGTGTTAGCGGAAGGAGCGATTGTGTTCTGTTTCTCTGCCACATGAGTGCTACAGAGGGCTCTAACTTTGGGACATTAACATCTCTTGGTTAGTTGGGGAATTAAGATCAGGGATTTTGATGGATTGAAGGGTGGGTGGATGAATAGATGAATTATAAACAGATGGACAGGTAGATTTGTAGAAGGCTGAGTGTGTGGATAAATGAATGAATGGGTCAGACGTGGGGGCTCACGCTAGTAATCCCAGCACTTTGGGAGGCTGAGGCAGGAGGAACACCCGAATTCAGGAGTTTGAGACCAGCCTGGCCAGTATGGCAAAACCCCATCTCTACTAAAAATATAAAAAATTAGCTGGGTTTGGTGGTTGCACCCATACTCCCAGCTGCTTGGGAGACTGAGGCTTGAGAATCACTTGAACCCGGGATGTGGAGGTTGCAGTAAGCTGAGATCGCACCACTGTACTCTAGACTGGGTAACAGAATCAGACCCTGTCTCAAAAAAAAAAGGTGAATGGATGGACAGTTGGATGGGAAATGGATGAATAGATAGCTGGATAAGTGAGTAAATAAATGGATAGAGGGATGGGTGGATGGATGAATAGATATGGGTGGATACTTGGATGAGTGGGTGCATTAATGGATGGAAGGATAGATACGTAGGTGGATGATGGAAGGACGGATGGATGAACAGATAGATGGGTACCTGGATGGATGGACAGTTGGACAAATGGGTGGAGGGATAGATGGATGAACAGATAGATGGGTGGTTGAGTGATGGATGAACGAGCGAATGAATGGATGGAGGGATGGAGGGATGAATAGATAGATGGATAGGTGAATGGATGGGTACATAGTTGCATAGTAAAGGAATAAATGGATAGATGTAGGGAACCAGCCCCCACATCACCCGTGGGTACCCCAAGTTCAGTGGCAACAAAGGATTGAGAAAATGACAGATTAAGAGTGAAAGTGGGACCAGGAGGCCATCACTTATTCCTGGAGGCAGTGAAAGCCCGAGCTCTGATCTCTCACAATATTTATTGGCCTCAATAATGTGTAGGGGTGGAGTGATGGTGGGGAGAGGGTGACGTGATGGTGGAGTGAACCAGTGAGCCGAAACAGGTGTGTCATTCTAAAGTGTGATAACAGTGGTGGTTTGGGAGTTTCACAAAACAAGAACATGTGGTTATCCTTAGCCTATTATCTATGTGCAGCTGGTGGAACCTACAAGGACCTTGTAGGAACCTTGTAGGAACCTTGCCTTACAAGGAACCTACAAGTCTGGCTATGTCATAGTGCTACAGAGGGGTTTTATGTCCTTGAGCACAATATTTATGGTAACAGAGCCTAGGTCACCCTGCACCAGAACATGAGGCATGGGGAGGCCTTCCTCCCCAGAGGCCTGCTGTGTCCTTCCGCAGTTTACTCCTGATTTCTTTTATACATACAACCAATTTATGTAGGCGCACTGTAAGCCCTTCCTCCATTGCTGCTTCTCCCAACAGATAGAGGGATGGATGGATGGGTAGATGGATAAATAGACAGATGGGTAAGTGGTTGGATGGATGGATAGTTGCGTGAGTGAGTGCATGAATGGATGAAGGGATGGTTGGATGGATGGATAAATGGACAGATGGGTAAGTGGTTGGATGGATGGATAGTTGCGTGAGTGGGTGAATGAATGGATGAAGGGATGGTTGGATGGATGGATAAATAGACAGATGGGCAAGTGGGTGGATGGAGGATAGTTGCATGAGTGGGCGAATGAATGCATGGAAGGATGGATGGATCAATAGATAAATGAGTTGGTGAATGTATGGGTGGATAGTTGTGTGAGTGGATGAATGAATGAATGGAAGGACAGATGGATGAGTGGGCAAAGGCTGAAGAAGAAGCAAAGCTGGTGCAGAGTCAGCCAGCAGTGGCTACGAGGGAACCTGAACCCAAATCCCTCTCCCCATCCCACACTCCTCTCTAGGGCAGGGAAGGACAAAGCAGCCCATGCCATCTGTCTTCTGCCTGCCAAAGTTTTATACTCCCATGCCTTTGCCAGGTTTCCCCAGGAGCTGAATGTGGGGAAAATCAGCGCTGAAGTGATGTGGAATCTGTTTGCCCAAGACATGAAGTATGCCATGGAGGGTGAGTTTCCCACTGCGGTGTTCCCAGCCTGGCCACAGCAGGTGGCTGCACCTCTGTGTCCCCCGCCAAGGCTGTGAGTGCCCTATACCCTTATGCCTGAGTTGGATATCGGTGACGGCCAGAGTGGGCAGCCTCTCTGCCGAGACACAGGGTGGCAGACCTTCCAGCTGTGCCACCCTCTTTGTCCCTGGCCAGAGCACGACAAACATCGTCTATGCAAGAGTGCCGACTACATGAACCTCCACTTCAAGGTGAAATGGCTCTACAATGAGTATGTGACGGAACTTCCCGCCTTCAAGGACCGTGTGCCCGAGTACCCTGCGTAAGTCCCCTGCCCCAAGCCCAGCCCAAGCCTGAACTGTAGCGCTGACAGCTAGAAGGAAACCCAGAGGGGAGGGATGACCTACTCATGTTACCTGGGCATCAGGGGCACAGGTTGGGCTCGAACCCAGTGTTCTCTAGGCTCAGCCATCGAGCAGTTGACTCCTATAGCCCAGAAAGTTCCTAGTCACAACAGCAACAGGAACCATGTGACTTTCTCCTTTTATCCTTTGACAATTCTACGAGTTAAGGTGGGATCATTTTAATTCCTATTTTGAGAAAGAGAAACTGGAGAGTTAAAGATGCCAAATGGCCAGGCACAGTGGCACATGCCTGTAGTCCTGGCAATTGGGGAGGCTGAGGCGGGAGGCTGAGGCAGGAGCCTTGCTTGAGCCCAGGAGTTCGAGACCCCATCTCTAAAATGAGTGAATGGGTCAGGCACAGTGGCTTGTGCCTGTAATCCCAGGACTTTGGGAGGCCAAGACAGGCAGATCACCTGAGGTCAGGAGTTCGAGACCAGTCTAGCCAACAAGGCAAACCCTCAGGTCTACAAAAATACAAAAATTGGCCAGGTACAGTGACTCACACCTGTAATCCCAGCACTTAGGGAGGCTGAGGTGGGTGGATCACCGGAGGTCAGGAGTTTGAGACCACCCTGACATCGTGAAAACCGTGAAACCCCATCTCCACTAAAAATACAAAAATTAGCATGTGTCTGTAATCCTAGCTACGCGGGACGCTGAGGCAGGAGAATCACTTGAACCCGAGAGGCAGAGGTTGCAGTGAGCTGAGATCACACCACTGCACTCCAGCCTGGGCAACAGAGCAAGACCTTGTCTCAAAAAAAAGAGAAAACAGAGAAAGAAAAGAAAGACAAGAGCTTGGCTGGGTGCAGTGGCTCACACCTGTAATCGTAGCACTTTGGGAGGCTGAAGCGGGAGGATGACCTGAGGTCAGGAGTTTGAGACCAGCCAGGCCAACATGGTGAAACCCCAACTCTACTAAAAAATATAAAAATTAGTTGGGCATGGTGGCACATGTCTGTAAGCCCAGCTACTTGGGAGGCTGAGGCAGGAGAATCGCTTGAACCCAGGAAGCTGAGGTTGTGGTGAGCAGAGATTGTACCACTGCATCCAGCCTGGGTTGAGGTATGAAAGAGTGAGACTCTGTCTCAATAATAAAATAAAAAGAGCTCAGAGAAAAAACCCACTTGTCATGGGCAGTGAATCTGAACTACGATTCCCACAGGTAGGGGCCCTGCTGTAAAAGGGGCCAATCTATTTCATGAGCCAGGTAACTGAGGCTCAGTGCAGGAGGTGGGCGGACGGGCAGCCCCTCAAGGCTGCAGGGAGAGCTCCAGGAAGAGTAGGAGCCACTGTAGCACCACCTAGTGGTCAGAACCAGGCAGTGCAGAGGTGGAGGAAGCCAAAAGGTGGCAGAGCCCCACCCCGGCTCTTCATTCCAGATGGTTTGAACCCTTCGTCATCCAGTGGCTGGACGAGAATGAGGAGGTGTCCCGGGATTTCCTGCATGGCGCCCTGGAGCGAGACAAGAAGGATGGGGTAAGAAGGCCACCCCACAGCCAAGGTCCTAATCTTCCCGTTGGGGTACAGTTTCAGGGGAAATTTGCCCTTGGGATGAGGCCAGTCTCTGCTAGGTATCCACCATCCTTGTCTCGCTCATGGTTTTTAAAATCTTGTTTATTCATCAACTACAAAATGTGAGTTCCAGGCCGGGTGTGGTGGCTCACACCTGTAATCCCAGCACTTTGGGAGTCTGAGGCGGGTGGATCACCTGAAGTTGGGAGTTTGAAACCAGCCTGACCAACATGGTGAAATCCAGTCTTTAAAAAAAATTTTTTTTTTTTTAAATGTGAGTTCCATCAAGCCAGATGTCTCCATACGCCCCATGGCTTCCACGTCCAGCTCTAGAGGTTAACTCTAAGTCAGCCTCGCCCTCTGACATCTCACCCCGGGGAAGGTGGTCTCTGGCTCTCCCCATGGAGAGTGGGAAAGTCGGGCTCTGGGGCTTCTCTGGCGTTGATCTCCTCCTTCCCCGGCCTTCTTTCCCCTGCAGTTCCAGCAGACCTCGGAGCATGCTCTATTCTCCTGTTCCGTGGTGGACGTCTTCTCCCAACTCAACCAGAGCTTTGAAATCATCAAGAAACTCGAGTGCCCCGACCCCCAGATTGTGGGGCACTACATGAGACGCTTTGCCAAGGTGTGGGAAAATGGGCAGGGTTGGGGCTGGGGGCTGGGGTCAGGGCTGGGGAATTGAGGTCAGAGTTGGAGATAGCTTACGGTTGGGGTTGGGATTGATGTTGAGTTGAGGTTGAGGTTGAGATGAGGTTGGAGTTGAGGTTTGACTGGATGTCGGGGTTGGGGCTGGTGTTTAAATTGAGATTGGAGTTGAGGTTGGCATTGGAATTGAGGTGTAGGCTCAGGTTGAAGTTGAGGTGTGGTTTGAGATCAGGTTGAGATGGGTGGGTGGATGGGTAGATGGATGGATGGTGGATAGATATAGGTGGGTAAATATTTAGATGGATAAATAATTTTTTTGAGACAGAATCTTGCACTATTGCCTGGGCTGGAGTGCAGTGGCACGATCTTGGCTCACTGCAATCTGCCTCCCAGGTTCAAGTGATTCTTCTTGCCTCCACCTCCCAAGAAGCTGTGATTACAGGTGTATACCACCATGCCCAGCTAATTTTTTTGTATTTTTAGTAGAAACAGAGTTTCACCATGTTGACCAGGCTGGTCTCGAACTCCTGACCTTGTGATCTGCCCGCCTTGGCCTCCCAAAGTGCTGGGATTGCAGGTGTGAGCCACTGTTCCCACCTGAATAAATGTTTTGAAGACTTCAGGGTGTGAACTGAGGATTTGAGGTCGTGGGTGCAGTTTGCAACGCTGTTTGGTTGGAGTTTGAGGCTGGGTTGGGTCTTGATTTGGGATCGAGGTTGGAGTGAGTGCTGAGATTGATACAGAATTTGAGTGAGTCTTGGGGTGAGTTTGAGGGTTGGGATCATTGGGGTTGAGGTTTGATTGATTGGCATTAGGCTGCGTTGTCCTTGGGGATTGCAAGTAGGAACTGGCTTTTGATTTAAGATCAGGTCATGCTTGTAGTTGAGGCTGGGTTAATATGATGCTTGGTTGCCCTGAAAAAGAGCTGGGTCAGCCAGGCGCGGTGGCTCACGTCTGTAATCCCAGCATTTTGGGAGGCCGAGGCGGGCAGATCACAAGGGCAGGAGTTCGAGACCATTCTGACCAACATGGTGAAACCCCAATACAAAAATTAGCTGGGCAGGGTGGCATTTGCCTGTAGTCCCAGCTACTCAGGAGGCTGAGGCAGGAGAATTGCTTGAACCCAGGAGGCAGAGGTTGCGGTGAGCCGAGATCACGCCATTGCACTCCAGCCTGGGCCACAGAGCAAGACTCTGTCTCAAAAAAAGAAAAGAAAAGAAAAAAAAAGAGCTGGGTCTACATAAAATGATTGTCTTCATTGAGTGGCACCTCCTCTAGACCTTGATGGTCATCTTGGGTGGAGAATCTGCCTCGCCCAAGGGTCCATCTTAGGTGCTAATAGGCTTGGGGTCATCACTGATCTCACTAGTGGCTCTTGATGGCACCTGGTGACTGGAGCCTGCCTTGGTCCCAGCCTCTCCTCTCACCCACTCTGTGTCTTCCCCAGACCATCAGTAATGTGCTCCTCCAGTATGCAGACATCATCTCCAAGGACTTTGCCTCCTACTGCTCCAAGGAGAAGGAGAAAGTGGTGACCTGCGGGGGCCCCTGACCTATCTCCTCCTCAGCCCCATTCAGCATCCCCAGGGCCCTGACACCTGGGGCTATGTGTGTCCACCTGTGTGTAATCTGACTGGCCTGTGTGTGTGGTTAGAGGTGCTTGTTTGAATGTGTGTGATCAGAGTGTATCTAGTTGCGTGTGCCTGAGTGTGTGGGATCTGAGTGCGTGTGACTGACTGTGTATTGTCTGTGTTGGCTGGTGTACTGTGTGTGTGTGTGTGAGTCCGTGAACATCTGTCTGCGTGTGCTGGCTTTGTTGACTGGGTGTAGCATGAATGTGTGTGTGAGTCTGACTGTGCACATCTAAATGTGCGTGTCTGATTACGTTTCATCTGGCTGTGTTAACTGGGCATAACGTGAGCATACGTGTGTCTGTGTGTGTTTGTACATATCTGAGTGTGGGTGTCCAGCCATGTTCCATCTGTCTGTGTTAACTGGGTAAAGCATGAGTGTGTGTATGTGTATGTGTGTTCAATTATGCATGTCTCGGTGTGTGTCTCATATTTTATCTAACTGTGTTAACCGGTTGTAGTGTGTCTGTATGCTTATGTGTGTGTCCAACTGTGCATGTCTGGGTGTGTGCGACCATGTTTTGTCTGGCTGAGTTAACCGCATATAGTGTGAGAGTGTAAGTGAGTGTGTGTGTGTGCATCTGGCTGTGCACGTCTGGTGGGTGTGTCTCACCAGGTTTTGTCTGGCTGTGTTGACTGTGCATGGTGTGACTGTGTGTCTGTGGCTGTGCCTGGCTGTGCACGTCTGGTGGGTGTGTCTCACCAGGTTTTGTCTGGCTGTGTTGACTGTGCATGGTGTGAGTGTGTGTCTGTGGCTGTGCCTGTCTGGATTTGTGTGTCCTTGGGGGATCTTGTGTGTATATCTGGGTGTGAGGGCACCCACCTTAGTGTGTCACTGTTGGCTGTTGCAAATGAAGCCTTCGGGGTGTGAACTGGAACACTTTGGGCCCCTGCAGGAAAATGTGCTACCCCCAGAATTCCCAGCCCCGCTGATGGACCTACCAGGCCTGGGGTGGGAGATTACTTGAGTCCTCCTTGTCCCCACCAATCCCCAGAGATGCCCCCTCCCGACAACACGCCCAGAAACCTGAGCCCAAATACTGCCTTCCATCTGCAGGTGACCCCGCGGAACCCCAGCTTTCTCCAAACCCAGACCCTGAAACCATCCCGAGGTCCCTCACAGTGGGTAGAGTAGGCTCTGGGGAGAGGTCCTGAGGCCTGACTCCCCTTTCTATTCTTCTCTACAGCCCTGCATCCTCATGAACAACACTCAACAGCTGCGAGTTCAGCTGGAGAAGATGTTCGAAGCCATGGGAGGGAAGGAGGTGAGGCAGGGCCCAGGCAGGGCTGGAGAAGGGATGGGGACACCCCCACCCACCACCGTGTGTGTTCCTGCAGGCTCCCGAGCTCATATGCCACCAGGCCTGGGGATAAATTCCAGCTCAACCATGCTCTTAAATCCAGGCGTGCCGTGCAACTCTCTGTGCCTCAGTTTCCCCTCCAGCCCCTTGGGATCCCTTTCCCTGGGTCAGATGAAAAAACACCCAGTACGTGTGGATGCTACTGGACCTGGCCTGATGTACCTTCTCTCTCCTTAGTTGGATGCCGAAGCCAGTGACATCTTGAAGGAGCTTCAGGTGAAACTCAATAATGTCTTGGACGAGCTCAGCCGGGTGTTTGCCACCAGGTGGGAGCATCTCTAGGGCTGGGGCAGTGGGGAGGGAACAGCCCGCAGCCTCTGAACCTGGGGCGTCTGCAGGCTCAGCGGATGTGGAAATGAAGATTGCAGCCTCAGAGTTAGACAAGGCTGAGTTCAACTCTTGGCTTTACTGCTTACTAGCTGTGACTAGTGACTCCCTTGTGGGAATCACTTAACCTCTCTAAGCCATATATATATATATTTTTTTTTTTTTTCTTTTTTTTTGAGACAGAGTTTCGCTCTTGTTACCCAGGCTGGAGTGCAATGGCGCGATCTCAGCTCACCGCAACCTCTGCGTCCTGGGTTCAGGCAATTCTCCTGCCTCAGCCTCCTGAGTAGCTGGGATTACAGGCACGCGCCACCATGCCCAGCTAATTTTTTGTATTTTTAGTAGAGACGGGGTTTCACCTTGTTGACCAGGATGGTCTCGATCTCTTGACCTCGTGTCCACCTGCCTCGGCCTCCCAAAGTGCTGGGATTACAAGCCTTATATATTTTTTTATTCCTCTGTAAAGTGAGGGTGATGACAATAATAGTACCCGAGTAGGATTTTGAGGATGAAACGAACAGCAGGCAGATGCCTCATCCCGTTGCCTGGTTCTGCTGTTATGATTCTTCGTTCTTGCTTGTGTGCTGTGATGCTGAAATGGCCTTAACAACCACTGATCAGCATTTGCGTCTTCATCCAGCCCTTCCTCCGGTCTGAGCCCATCCCTTCTGTGTCCCCAGCTTCCAGCCACACATTGAAGAGTGTGTCAAACAGATGGGTGACATCCTTAGCCAGGTTAAGGGCACAGGCAATGTGCCAGCCAGTGCCTGCAGCAGCGTGGCCCAGGACGCTGACAATGTGTTACAGCCCATCATGGACCTGCTGGACAGCAAGTGAGCCGGGCCAGGTGGACTGGGCTGGCCAGGGAGGGGCTGGGGCAGGGCCAGAGAGACCCAGGAACTGGTCTGGAGAGAGTGTGCAGGGAATGTTTGCTGGGTGGTCATTGGATAGTTGGATGGGTAAATAGATGGTGGCATGAAGGGGATGGAAAGTTGGGTGGGTTAATGATTGGAAGGATTCGTGGGTAAATATTTGTGTGGATGAATGGGTGGTGGATGGATAGGCGACATGAGGGATGCGTAGGTGGGTGGATGGATGCATGGATTAAAAGATAAATGTTTAGAAGGCTAGATGGAAGATAGATGTTTTAAAAAGATGGATGAGTGGATAGTTGAGCAAATATTTGGATGGGTGAATAAATGTTTTGATGTGTAGCTGGATGGATGGATGGATGGATGGATGGATGGATGGATGGATGGATGGCTGGCTGGATGGATAGATGGATGGCTGGCTGGCTGGATGGATGGATGGATGGCTGGATGGATGGATGGATGGATGGATGGATGGATGGATGGCTGGCTGGCTGGCTGGCTGGCTGGCTGGATGGCTGGCTGGCTGGATGGATAGTTAAATGGATGGATAGGTGAATAAATATTTGGATGAATAATAAATGTTTTGATGGATAAACGGATGGACAGATGGGTGAATGAACTAGTGGATGAATAAATAAATGGACCAGTGGGTAGATGGATAGAAGGATACATAGAAGGATGGATGGATGAACAGATGGACAGATGGATGGATGGATAGAAAAATAGAGAATTAAAGACCACTGGAGGAGGGATAGATTGGTGGGTACTGGATCAATTGGTGGATAGATCATGGTGGACTGCCTCTCTCCTTCAACCCCTATACATCCAACCACAATTCCTTTTCTGTTTTCCGTTTCAAGTCTGCCCTCCTCTGACCGTTCCCCTCCTTTTTCTTCTGGGCTTGGCCTTATCCCTTATAGTCCCTGATCTCCATCCTTCCTGTTTCACTTCATCCCCCACACCGTTCTTTCAAACATGAAAGGCTGGCTGTGTCTCCCTCTTGAATGCTCCGTGGCTCCCCATTACCCCTATCCCCATGATAAAGCCCAAGCCTTCCTCCCAGATACTGATGCCCCTTCCCATCTGGTCCCTGCTGGCCAGTCAACCACCACTCACTCTTCTCTTCATGCATCAGATATCACAGCCCCATTAGACCACCGAGGGGTCCCTGTACAGGCAGTGTGCCCTCCTTCATGTCTGTGGAATGCCTTGCCCACCTGTTAAGGGAAGGGGCTCTGTGGGTTGGGACCAGCTGGGCCCCCTCTCAGACCTGCCCCTCCCCCCCAGCCTGACCCTCTTTGCCAAAATCTGTGAGAAGACGGTGCTGAAGCGGGTGCTGAAGGAGCTGTGGAAGCTGGTTATGAACACGATGGAGAAAACCATCGTCCTGCCACCCCTCACCGACCAGACGGTGAGGCCTGCAGGGGGCCCATGGGACACTTGGGTCACCTCCCTGGTGGGAGCCCAGAAAACTTGGTGCCTAGAGAGGCTGGGGGGTGTGAGAGGTCATCCAGGCTCAAGGTCCATCCAAGGGTGGTGGAAGCCACCAGAGGTCAGTGGGGCCATTCAGAGGTCACAGAGGTCACCTGGGGGGTTAAAGTTCATCAACGAGTTAAGGAGGTCATTCAAAGTCCATCGTGGTGACTCCAGGATCAAAGAGATTAGGCAGAGTCAAGAAACGTCTAAAGTCATAGAGGTCGCATGTAGGTCGAAAGAGCATTCAGAGGTCAGAGGTCATCTAGAAAACAGGTAGGCTGGGGGATCAAGGTTATCCTTGAGTCATGGAAGGCATAGAACTTGGCTGGGCACCATGGCTCACACTTGCCATCCCAGCACTTTGGGAGGCCCGAGGCAGGCAGACTGGTTGAGGTCAGGAGTTCGAGACCAGCCTGGGCAACATGGTAAAATCCTGTCTCTACTAAAAATACAAAAATTAGCTGGGTGTGGTGGCACATGCCTGTGATCCCAGCTTCTGGGGAAGCTAGGACATGAGAATTGTTTGAACCCGGAGGTGGAGGCTGCAGTGAGCCAAGATGGCACCACTGCACTCCAGCCTGGGTGAGAGTGAGACCCTGTCTCAAAAAAAAAAAAAGACATAGACATCAACAGTGGGTTTTTCTAAGTGCTTTGGGGCTCGTTCCAAAGATCAGAGATCAATAGACCAGGGAGCTCTTGGAGGTCAGCCAGAGGTCATGAAGGGCATCCAAGGTCAGAGATGTCAAGCAGAGGTCAGTGGCCATCCAGTGGCCAGGATCTATAGACCCCCCTGCACCAGGGACCAGGGGACCGAGACATCTGTAGGGATGTAGTTGGGTGTGGGTCCCTCCAGGAGACCTCAGGAACCTGAGGACAGCAATGGGCTATGGGCACATCAAGGAACAGGGAGGGCTTTCCCAGTTGGACCCTGGAGGCTTGGGGAGGGTGCTCGGGGACCAAAGAGAGGCGACGATGGTGGGGGAGGCCCGGACTTCTCAGCCTCCCCAATTCTGTGGGTTGGGCTGGGGCAGGGGTCTTGCCCCTCCTTGCTGTCATCTCCGACCCCTCCCTGGCCTTCCCGGGAAACTTATGGTACCTTATTCCCCCCCTCCCCCACCACCCCGCCCCCATCATGGCTGACAGATGATCGTAAGTAGAGGCCCGTCTGTCCGTCTGTCTGTCCATCCGCTCTGTGTCGGGACTCAGCCCACCACGTCGCTGCACCCCTCTCCCCACCCACCCAGCGCCCCCTCCTCACCCACCATCCTCCCTCCTGCCTAGATGTGCCTGTGTCTGTCTGGGGCAGGGCATGGGGAGGGGGCAGGACTGGGAGGGAGGGAGACCACACCGATCCACCCTGTCCCATTGAAGTCTGGAGACCCCCCAACCCCAGGCCCAGCTCCTCCTTCGCAGCAGACCTGCCATCTAAGGGTAGAATCCAACCCCACTCCCGTGCCCAGATGCCACCACATGCCCTGAAGCTAGAAAGAGTATCAACCCCAGGATCCCTCTGAAGTGTCAGCAGCTTCCCAGAATGCAGATCCTCACCATGAGGGTCTCTACTTCTGACTCCCCTGAAATTCCATGCTCAGACCATTCCTCAGTACCCCACCACCCTGCCTACCCGACTCCCACCATCCACACTGGCACACACCAATGCCAGACACACGCCCAGGTGCCCAAATGGGAGGCTTGTGTCATGGTTTCAGTGTCAGGCAGACTTGGGGTCAGTTCCTAGCCCAGCTACTCTCTCTCTCTCTGTGATCTTGGGAAGTCACTTGACCTCCCAGCCTCTGTTTCCTTGTCTGGAAAATGGGGCTCATTGCATCTCCTCCCTGAGGGTAGTTCTAAGAACCAAATGTCATGATGCAGGAAAATAGTCATCTCAGTATTGCTTGAACCCAGGAGGTGGACCACAGCACTCTCAGTGACTGGCCCAGAGGCAGCGATCTCTAAATCAGAGCTAATGATGGTGGGGGTGGGGGGGGCGGTGATATGCAGACATGTATGAGAGCAGAGACAAAACAACTTCAGATTTTCCCTTTGTGCGCAAGACAAGGCTGTCACAAGATTTCACTTCGTCAAAAGTTTACAAGTGGTCTTCTTACTTCTTGGTAGCCGCAGCCTGGGTCTTTGGCTGTAACCATAGAGAGCCAAAGGGTACGCTTTGGTGGCCGCATAGCCAACCACAGGCAATGCACTTGTGGCCAGGGGGATAAAGGAATTTGCATTTAATGAGTGACCATATGCCAGACCTTCTCATAGCCCCTGTTTCAGCTCACCTTCATAACAAGCCTTTGAATGAGGTGGATATTATTGTCCCCACTTTGCAGATGAGGAAAGCTGAGGCTCAGAGAGAAGTCACTTGTTCAAGGTCATATAGTAAATGCCAGAGTCAGGATTCAAATTCAGATCTGTCTGAATATGCAGCCTATTTGCTTTGCTATTAACCCAAGAACAAAGAGTCTCATTGTACAGTAAGTGCAAACAGATCATGTTTTGGCAGTGACTTCTCTCCTTTCTTTCTGGCTTTCTCTAGCTCTGTATCTGTCTCTCTCTCTCTCTCTCTTTGCTGTCTCTGACTCTCACACCATATAAAAGTCAGTCACTAAAGCGCGCGCACACACACACACACACACACACACACGCCACAATCCCCATGCAACCCAATCGCCAGTCCCCTGTGCAGTGTGGATTCCCCTGTCCCCATGAATATACCTGTGAGCATCCGGGCCTCCCACCCTGCGTGACTTGCCAGGTTGATCACCCTGTGACGTTGCCTCTGCAGGGGAACCTCTTGAGAAAACATGGCAAGGGATTAGAAAAGGTAATGAGGGCCTCGTCTCACTGAGGCCCTGAGCTCTGGTGTCTGGGCATGTGTGTGCATGTGTGTGCATCTGTGCACCTGGGCAGGAAGGCCAGCTGGGGGTCGTGGGTAGGGATAGCTGTCCTAACCAAGTCCCGGAAAACCAGAAGTCAGAGATGAAGTGATTCTCCAGGGACAGAGTGTGCAGTGTGTGTGCAAATGTGAACTGATGTGTGTGCACAAACAGCTCCCGTCCTCCCACAGCCCTGGGCTCAGCTGAAACTCTGTGGCTTCTTGAAGAGCCTACACACTGGATCACCACTCTGGCTTGAGACATGTGTTGTTTTTTACATAGATTTTTTTGTTGCTGCTGTGCTAATGGATGTTTGCTGTTGCGGAGATGGGAGCTCCAGCAACATGCAGGCAGCTGTCTTGCTGTGCACTTGTGCAGAAGATGTTATCGTGCCTGCGTGCATATAAACGGAGTCTTAGCTTTGTGAATGTGGGACACGGGTTGCCTACTCTCTCAGCCAGCCCTTTGGGGGTCACATTCAATGTGCCAGGCACCCTATATGTGTATGTGAATCCCTGTGGGGTCAAGGGTGTGTGGGTTTCTGTGTGATTGTGCACATGCCTGCAAGTGTTTGGGTGCATGAGTGTAGTTTAGTGTATAAGTTTTTCAGCATTGAGTGAACTTGCAGTATATGTTAGTATGTTTTTTCATAGAGTCAGGTATGGGGATATAGGGGGCAGTCCCTGAGGAACTGGGAGAGGAGAGATTCCTACCCCTATTTCATCTCCCCACCTCCCCAGGTGCCCCATCCTGGGGCAGGCTGACTGTGGGATGGGGCTGCTTCCAGCCTCCTGGGCACCCAGAGAGTGTGCTGGTTGCCAAGGAGTCTGACCCCAAAGCCTATGCTAGGGGACAAGAGGAGGTACTAGTTGGGGAGGGGGCCCACCATTAGACCCAGGACCTGGGGAGGAGCTCCTGGGCTGGGAAGTGGGACTATGCTTTGAGGGGGCAGGGAAGTCCCACTGAGTATCCTCCCAAGAGCCACCAGAACTCTGACCTCCACCTGATTCTCTCCACAGGGCAGGGTGAAATTGACAAGCCACTCAGACGTAAGACCAGCCTCTCACTGTCTGTCTGGCTCCCACCCCACTCCCTCACCCCACCCCGTGCCCCCTTCCACCTCTGTGGTCCGTGCCGTCTGAGGGAGTACTGTGAACCTGTCTGTTGGTCTCTTCTTCCTTTGTCTGTCTGGCTTGCTCGTGGGGGGTGGTGGGTGGGGGGTTGGTGGGTAGGGCAGAGGGTGCCCAGGAAGGCCCCGAGCCCTTCCAGACTACAGGTGGGTGCAGGAGGGGAAACTGAGGCCCCGTCCACTGGGCTCCTGAGTAACTGTGCCTTGTAAGAACCTCAGGCTCACAGATAAGAAATAAGAGTAACAGTAACAGCCAAGATGATAATAATACTAGCAGGAATGACCACGTGGCCAGCAGATAAACTATGAAGATAATTCCAAATATCCCCACTGCAAATGGGCCCCCTCCCCATCTAGCCTCACCCAGGACCCCCAGACCACCCCAGGACCCAGTAATACAAGACTCGTTACCTCAATACTCAGCCCTACTCTGTCCCCCAAGTTTCTGTGGGTATCCCTGTTAGCCAGGGTGGGAATTGAGGCTCAGATGGCTCAGGGACGGGCTTGGGTCACCCAGCAGTGACAGAGGAGGCTAGACACGTGCATGGCTTCCAGGCTGGAACCCCATTCCCTTAACATTGCCTTTGACTTTGAGACCAAGTGATAATTAGTAAACACTGAGCAAAGACTTGTTTAGTTCAGACTAAGCCACAAAGTGAATCCAATTTTCCCCATCTAGATGGAAAAACTGAGGCTCAGAGAGGTTAAGTGACTCTCCCAGGGCACACAGCAGGGCTGCGATTTGAACCCAGATCATCTAGATTGTCAGAGCCATCACCACATCGCCATCTTGCTAGTATCTGTTTGGGGGGTGGGATGGAGGATGGATATGGAGGTGTTTCCTGAATAGAGGGAGGATTTTTCCTTTAAAAAGTCAGACTGGCTAGCAATGTGGCTCACGCCTGTAATCCCAGCACTTTAGGAAGCTGAGGTGGAAGGATCGATTGAGCCCAGTAATCCAAGACTAGCCTGGACAACATAGCAAGACCCCGAAAAATATTTCAAAAATATTTAAAAATTAGCTGAGCAGCTGGACATGGTGGCTCACGCCTGTAATCCCAGCAGTTTGGGAGGCTGAGGTGGGTGAATCACCTGAGGTTGGGAGTTGGAGACCAGCCTGACCAACAGAGAAACCCCGTCTCTACTAAAAATACAAAAATTAGCCAGGCATGGTGGTGCATACCTGTAATCCCAGCTATTTGGGAGGCTGAGGCAGGAGAATCGCTTGAACCCGGGAGGCAGAGGTTGTGGTGAGGTGAAATAGTGCCATTGTATTCCAGACTGGACAACAAGAGTGAAACTCATCTAAAAAAAAAAAAAAAAATTTGCTGAGTATGGTGGCTCACACATGTAGTCCCAGCTACTGGGAAGGTGGGAGGATGTCTTGAGCCCAGGAGTTTGAGGCTACAGTGAGCTATGATCACACCGCTGCACTCCAGCCTGGGCAACAGAGGGAGACCCTGTGTCAAAAAACAAAACAAAACCAAAATCAGACTGAAAGTCCTCCCAGATTACAGGGGAAATTTCCCTGCAGAAGGGATGATGCCTTGAGGAGGAGGTGTTTCACCAGAGCCATTTTCTGAAACGCCAGCCCAATCTCTTGTTTCCCCAAGCTCCCTTTCCCTGAAAAGGCCTGCCCACATCCACAAACACCGCTGTCTGAGGCTCCCCCAATCCACTGCCCCACACAACCTGGTTCCTGTCTGTTCCTCCCATTTCACAAGCCTGGGCGGGGCAGAGAGGGCGGGTACTATCCCCACGGGACTTGAATTTTCAAGGACAAGGTTACCACATCCTCTTGAGTTCTTCCTGGGAGTTCCAGACCCCTGTCTCTGGGACACAATTATTGCCCAGCCCCGAGCCTTTGGGCAAGAACCAAGATGGCCTCCTGGGCTGGGGTGTCAGCTGGGTGTTTGGGGACAAGGCGGTAGCGCCCCTGCCCTCACCCAACTGTTTGTTGTTACCTGCAGGGAACCCAAATGATCTTCAATGCAGCTAAGGAACTGGGCCAGCTGTCCAAACTCAAGGTGAGGAGTGGGGACAGCTTATGGAGTGGGGGACTGCCCCCCCATACTCACGTGGCTTCCAGGTCGCCACCATCCTTGGGGAGGGGTCCCAGGATGATGATATGCATTACAGGCTGCAAGGACAGAAACTCTACTCACTCAAGCACAAGATATTTGCTCCCCAGTGTGTCAGAAAAATGTGAATGGTTCAGCTTCAGGTACAGCTTGATCAAGAGGGCACATCATTTATTCACCAAATATTTATTGAGCACCTGCTGTGTGCCAATCACATGCTGGGTGCTGAGATAATGAAAACATTGACCCTCAGCCCAGCTCGTCCAAGTTTTACAGAGATGAGGCCCATAGACACAGATTCTGAAGGCAGGGCCTACACTACCCATGTGGCCCTCTCCCCATCCATCCAGGACCACATGGTACGAGAAGAAGCCAAGAGCTTGACCCCGAAGCAGTGTGCCGTTGTTGAGTTGGCCCTGGACACCATCAAGGTGAGCGGCCCTACCCCTGCCCGTCCCAGGTGGGGGGTGCAGAGGGTGTGGCTGCTGTGGTCATGAACCTAGGTGCCCCAGACCCATGTTAATTCATTCATTCATTTGTAAATACTCCCTTCTTTCCCCTTCTGTGCCAGAGCTGGACTGGCTAATGCTGGAGGCTTAAGGAACCCCATCCTCAGCCTTGTAGAGTCAGGCTTGGGGTAGAGGGAAAGATGCAGACTGAGGGAGCCCAAGGCGGGTGAAGCCAGGACTTCCTGGAAGAGGGCATGTGAGAGATGGGTTCTGAGGAATGCATAGGAGTTCACTAGTCAAAGCAAAGGAGGAGGTGAAAAAGTAGCAACAGGAGGGACTGGAAGTGGTAACAGCAGGGCTTCCCAGCCCTATATGAGTGGATAGAAGATGCCACCAGCCTCACCTCTCCCCACCCCATCCTCCACAGCAATATTTTCACGCGGGTGGCGTGGGCCTTAAGAAGACCTTCCTGGAGAAGAGCCCGGATCTGCAATCCTTGCGCTATGCGCTGTCACTCTACACGCAGGCCACTGACCTGCTCATCAAGACCTTCGTACAGACGCAATCGGCCCAGGGTAAGGGCGCCCAGACCCCACCACCCTTTCCAGCCCTGCAGAGACAGCCCAACCCAGAGCCTAAGCAGCTGCCATTGGCTCACTCCTCCTGTGACGTCACGGATGGGGCAGAATTGACATCTCTGCACCAAGTCCAGGGACCACTGAGTGATGCAATGTTCGTGGGGGCGGGGCCTCTGACATCACAGGCGGGGAGGTGATTGTCCACTCCTGGGAAAATCTGTAATCTCCTGGGGCCAGACAGTGATTGACAGCTCTGGGATGGAATGGCTTTGACATCAAGGACCAGGGTGTGGAACCTACGACGACGTAGGGCCACAAGGCGATTGTTGTCTCCTGGGAAAATCTGTGGTGTCCCAGAGCCAATGAATGATTGTCAGCTCCTGGGAGACCTCGAGAGTCATGGGTCCAAGGAGTGGTTGACCTCTCTGGGGGTCGTCAGGAGTGATTGACAGCTCAGGATGGGCAGGACCTCTGATGTCAAGGGATCAAGGAATGATTGGCAGGTCCAGGGGTGGGGCTTCTGACATCATGGTCCCAGGGAGTGGTTGAAGTCCCCTGAGGAGGACCTCTGTGATGTCATGGCGCTAAGGAATGATTGACAGCCCCAAGGGAGGGAGGGACCTCGACTTGGTCGGGGAGGGTGGACGGAGAGGGAGTTCCTGTTTCTCAAACTCTCTCTTTCTCTCTGTCTTTTGCTTCGGTCTCCTGTCCCTCTCTGAGCGCACACACAGGGCAGCTGGGGCTGGATGGAGAGCAGGATTTCCTGGGACCCCCCCCCCTTTTCACAATTGGTCCGGACAGACAAGGGAAAGAAGTTTGGCGCTGACCTCAGGAGGGGGAGGGAGAGTCGCCGTCACACCCAGCCTGGGGAGAGGGGAGCCTCCAACGGTCCTCTTCTTCCCCCGATCCAGCCAGCCTCCCCCTGTGGGAGGATGGGCCAGGAGCCTCCCCCTGTTGCCTCCAATGGTCCTCTTCTCCCCTGATCCAGCCAGCCCAGTGCCCTCCGTGGACGCTGGGTCTCTGAGCTCAGCTTCCCATCCAGATCTGGCTGCTGTTAGTGTCCCCGGTGTCCCTGGAGCAGGAGGCTGTGTGTCTGTCTGTCTGTCTGTCTGTCTGCAGCTGACGTTTCTCTCTCTCTTGTTTTTCCTCCCTCTCACTCGCTGTCCCCTCTCCGCGCCTCCCCTGCCCCCTCCACACACACTCCTCCATCCTCACCTCTTACTGGCTCGTCTCTCCCCGCTCCCCATGCTCCCCCTCTCTCCCCCCTCCACCCCACAATTAGTCCATGGTGGAAAAGGTACTAGGTTTACCCTTAGTGAAGACATTTATCCTGAGAAGGGTACGTGCCTCCGCCGCCCGCCCGCCCGCCACCCGCGCCTGGTGCCCGGTGCCTGCGCCCCTCCCGGCCCCGGCTAGTAAAAGGCTCGCCCTTCTGCCTCCAGGGCCTGCAGGGCCCCTGCCCAGGCCTGAGTGGCTTGGAGGGCCCAGGCGGGTGAGGGGGAAGGACGATTTGCTGGTTCCACATGGGGAAGAAAAATCGATTCCAGTGGGAATCCCAGAATCCATTTCTCCCGAGATGACGTACTTTTTAAGCCGAATCCTGGGACCCCGGGACAGGAACCTGTCAGGTTAAGAGGTGGGCTCAGATCCCAGCTCAGCAACTCCCTGGGTAGGCACCTCGGGCAAGAATCCGTCTCCCTGAGCATCAGTTTTCTCATCTGTAAAATGGGGGCACTCAAGGACCCTATTTCATAGGATTATTGTTATTAATATTGTTATTATTTAGAAACAGGGCCTCCTTCTGTTACCCAGGCTGGAATGCAGTGGTGCAATCACTGCTCACTGCAGCCTCCACCTCCCATGCTCAAGTGATCCTCCTGCCTCAGCCTCCTGAGTAGCTGGGACTACAAGCACATGCTCCCATGCCCAGCTAATTAAAAAAAAAAAATTTTTGTGAGGGGAGGGGGGGTCTCACTTTCCTGCCCAGGCTGATCGCCAGTTCCTGGCCTCAAGTGATCCTCCTCTTTGGCCTCCAAAAATGTTGGGATTACAGCTGTGAGCCACTATGAGAGGCTAATGAGATTATGTTTAGAATTGGAGGACTTACATTTAGAGCAATTTCTGGCACAGGATAAGATCTCAGCAATTCCTCACTATTGTTATTGTTCTTTTCTTTTTTCTTTCTTTTTTTTTTTTTGAGATGGAGTTTATCCCAGGCTGCAGTGCAATGATGCCATCTCAGCTCACCACAACCAGCCTCCACCTCCCAGGTTCAAGCAATTCTCCTGCCTCAGCCTCCCGAGTAGCTGGGATTACAGGCATGCGCCACCACACCTGGCTAATTTTGTATTTTTACTAGAGATGGGGTTTCACTATGTTGGTCAGGCTGGTCTCGAACTCCCAACCTCACGTGATCCGCCCGCCTCAGCCTCCCAAAGTTCTGGGATTACAGACGTGAACCACCACGCCTGGCGTTATTGTTCTTACTAATATATTTCATGTCATATTTCCAGCGTTGAAAATAGTGAACACTTATCAGCCTCTAATGCTGAGCAAGACCTATGCCAGGCGTTTCTTGAAGAATCTGTGTTGGGTTTTGTTGTTGTTTGAGACAGTGTCTCGCTCTGTCATCCAGGCTGAAATCTCAGCTCCCTGCAACCTCCACCTCCCGAGTCCAGGCGATTCTCCTGCATCAGCCTCCCGAGTAGCTGGTTATAGGCGCACACCACCGTGCCTGGCTAATTTTTGTAGTAGAGATGGGGTTTTCCCATGTTGGCCAGGCTGGTCTTGAACTCCTGGCCTCAAGTGATCCACCCACCTTGGCCTTGGCCTCCCAAAGTGCTGGGATTACAGGTGTGAGCCACTGCGCCCGGCCAGTTTGTTTTTAATTTGAGGCAGGCGCTGTCCATCAGGCCAGAGAGCAATGGCAAAATCTCAGCTCACTGCAGCTTTCACCTCCCAGGCTCTGTTGCCCAGGCTGGTCTCAAACTCCTGGCCTCACAGCTGGTCTCCTCACTCCTAGGATTATAGGCATGTGCCACCACGCCTGGCCAATTTTTGTATTTTTAGTAGAGAGGGAGTTTCACCATGTTGGTCAGGCTGCTCTCTAACTCCTGACCTCAGATGATCTTCCCACCTTGGCCTCCCAAAGTGCTGGGATTACAGGCGTGAGCCTCCATGCTGCCCCACAAGGGGTCCATCATTCCACAGATGAGATGCTGATAGCAGAGGGAGATTCAACCACTTGTCCCAGGAACCTTCCTCTGCAGGGGTCCCGGGACTTGGGGAGTGGGGAGTGGGGTTGGGAGAGGCACTGAGAGGCCCAGGAAAGACCCTTCCCCACGGAGCCAGCAAAGCATGGGATGGGGGCACCCAGCACTGCCCCCCTCCCCACTTCTTACTAGCTTTGGCCTTGGTCTGACCCCTCACCTGACCCACCACTGTCCGACTCCCCCCAGCACCCCCGGCACCCCAGTCTGGCCCGGATTGAGCTTGCTGTGAAGCATCGGCCTGGGGGAGGGCAGAGCGGCTGAGCATGTGACTGGTGGAGGTCGGGGGTGGAATGGGAGCCTGAGGCGTCAAGGAACGGGACCTGGGGTGGGCGGCAAAGACTGGGTTTGCATACCCCAGTACTGGGGTGATGGGAGTCTCCAGGCCCCTGTGCTCCCCGATCACCAGTCACTTCCTGTCCAGCGTGAGGTAACCCAATCAGCCTTTGACTGACCTGACTTCGCACCCTCACCTCTGACTTTCCCCTTCTTCTCCCTGTGCATGGGGTGGTCCAGGAAGGGGGAGCTGCCTGGTGGGGGGTTGGGAGGGGCTGGGGGAGGTGCTGGCGGTCACAGGTCCACAGGCCCCATAGGATGCCCTTTTGAGTCACAGAAGGCAGAACTGGGACAGATTCTTTTAAGCTCCGCCATCAATGATCCCCACTGGAACCATAAAGGACACATGTGGTGGCCCCAGACAGAAGCACACTACACCATAATTCAAGCAGACAAGGGACTTGTTGGCTACAGAACGGAAAAATCAGGGGTTGAGGCCAGGCACAGTGGCTCGCGCTTGTAATCCCACCACTGTGGGAGGCCAAGGTGGGTGGATCACTTGAGGTCAGGAGTTTGAGACCAGCCTGTTTCACCAGCATGATGAAACCCCGTCTCTACTAAAAATACAAAAAGTAGCGGGGCGTGTTGGTGAATACCTGTAATCCCAGCTACTTGGGAGGCTGAAGCAGGAAAATTGGTTGAACCCAGGAGGCAGGGGTTGCAGGAAGCTGAGATCACACCACTGCACTCCAGCCTGGGCGACAGAGTGAGACTCTGTCTCAAAATAAAAATAATAAAATAAAAATAAAAATGAAAGATTCGATAGAGGTGAGTTGACATCTTGAACAGCTGAATCCAGAGTCTCCAAGAAGGCCATTGTTCTCTGTAGAGGCCTCCCTGGGATCTCATTGGGCAAAAATAACCCAATGCTCACAGCTTAGCACCAGAGGATGACCTTTTTCACTAAGAGTTACAACCAAAGTCCCAGGAGCAATTCCTATTGGCCCTGCTTCGGTCACATGACCATCTCTGAACCAATTATCAAGGCTATGGGCAGGGAATGCTCTGATTGGCCAGCTGTGGCTCATCTCTCAAGCTGCGATGGAGCCCATCTTACCTGAGTCACAAGGTCTAAGGTGAGTGTGGGAGCATTTCTCAACAGAAACTTTAGATTCTGGCCGGTCACAATGGCTCATGTCTGTAATCCCAGCACTTTGGGAGGCAGAGGCGAGCAGATCACCTGAGGTCAGGAGTTTGAGACCAGCCTGGCCAACTTGGTGAAACCCTATCTCTAATGAAAATATAAAAATTACCCGGGCATGGTGGCGCGTGCCTGTAGTCCCAGCTACTCGGGAGGCTGAGGCAGGAGAATTTCTTGAACCCGGGAGTTGGAGGTTGCAGTGACCCGAGATTGCACCACTGCCCTCCAGCCTGGGTGACAGAGGGAGACTCCATCTCAAAAAAAAAAAAAGAAAGAAAAAGAAAAAAAGAAACTTAATCTTAAGATTCTGCATTAGAAGAGAAATAGGGGTAAGGAAAATAAAAGATGCCCCTCAAGCTGTTACATCCAAAGGGATGAGGATTCTGGGCCAGGGGATGCAATGAGGTGACCCGTGGGGCTGGGTCAGAGTTAACAAGGGCAAGAATGGGGTGAGTGGGGAGAGGTCATAGTAACCTACTGGAAAGGGCCACTTTTGGAAGGGGTGTTGCAGAATCACAAAACCCGCTTTGATTATTTCAGAGTGAGGTGGCAGCCAGGGAAGACTTTGTTTTTGCTTTGTTTTGTTTTGTTTCATGTTTTGAGACAGAGTCTTGCCCTGTCACCCAGGCTGCAGTGCAGTGGCGGGATCACAGCTCAGTGCAGCCTCAACCTGCTGGGTTTCAGCGATCCTCCTGCCTCAGCCTCCCAAGTAGCTCGGGCTACAGGCGCATGCACAACCACGCCGGGCTAATTTTCTTTCTTTCTCCTTTTTCTTTCTTCCTTTCTTTTCTTCTTCCTTTCTTTCCTTCTTTCTTTCTTTCTTTCCTTCTCTCTCTCTCTCTCTCTCTCTCTCTCTCTCTCTCTCTCTCTCTCTCTCTCTTTCTTGAGACAGGGTCTCTCTCTGTCACCCAGGCTGGAGTGCAGTGGTTTCATCTTGGCTCACTGCAACCTCCACCTCCCAGGTTCAAGTGTTTCTCCTGTCTCAGCCTCTCAAGTTGGACTGCAGGCGTGCACTACCATGCCTGGCTGATTTTTGTATTTTTAGTAGAGATGGGGTTTCACCATATTGGCCAGGTTGGTCTTGAACTCCCGACCTCAAGTTATCTGCCCACCTTGGCCTCCCCAAATCCTGGGATTACAGGCATGAGTCTCCCAAAGTACTGGGGTTACAGGCATGAGCCACCACTGCCATGAAAGAGTTTTGAGCCAAGGAGGGACATGATCTGACTTTTGAATTTTATTGATTTATTTATTTTTAATTTTTTTGAGACAGGGGCTTGCTCTGTCACCCAGATTGAAGCGCAGTGGTGTGATCTCATCTCACTACAGCCTGGACCCTCCTAAGCCCAAGCAGTCCTCCCACCTCAGCCATCAGAGTAGCTAGGGCTACAAGCACGCACCACCACGGCCACTAGTTTTTGTATTTTTTGTACAGATCGTGTTTTGCCCCATTGCCCAGGCTAGTCTCAAACTTCTGGGCTCAAGTGAGCCTCCTGCCTCAACTTCCCAAAGTGCTGGGGTGACGGCTGTGAGTCACCGCACCCGACCCACATGAGCTGACTGAATAGGATTTTTCTGGCTGGTGTGTTGAGAGCAGAGGAAAGAGCAGAAGGAGGGAGACTGGGAAGGAGGCTACTGCAACTGACCCTGTGTCTACTGAAAATACAAAAAAATTAGCCAGGCGTGGTGGCGCATGCCTGTAGTCCCAGCTACTCAGGAGGCTGAGGCAGGAGAATCACTTGAATCCAGGAGGCGGAGATTGCAGTGAGCTGAGATCGCGCCACTGCACTCCAGCCTGGGCGACAGTATGAGACTCTGTCTCAAAAAAAAAAAAAAAAAAAAAAAAAAGGCGTGGCTCTGCTTCTGGATGTATTTTGAAGGTAGAGCTGGCAGGATTTTTCAGTCTGTGGGCAGCTAGGGAGGAAGTGAAGACAAAGAAGAAGAACAGAGGTAAAGACTGAGGTGCAAGGTCTGTCTGAGGACACACAGAGGGGAAAATGACCAAGGCGGCTGGAAGGTGTGGCAACTATGTAGGATGAGAATCTGGAGTCAGTGACACTGTTGCAGCCAAGAGGACAAACTGGCAACGGAGCCCAGGGTGCCAGATGCTGCTAAGATGTAACAGGAAGACTGAATTTTGACAGCATGGCAATCAATGGAATAAGAAAAAAGAAAAGAATTGCATTAGGCCCAGAGAGGTTAAGAGACACCCCCAAGATCACACAGCAAGGCAGTAAAAGGTCAGAACCCAGGATTCTTGGCTTTCCAAGAGTGCCTCCCATCCTGGTTGCCCCCCTCCCAGGTGCCTCCCTATCAGGGCTGATGACCTGGTGCCGCCAGCACGGGGTGGGTAGGAGGCCATCAAGGTCCCTCCTGGTGGGTGAGAAAGAACAGAGCTCATGCCAACCATCCTCCCCTGCCCTGCCCAGGCACGGGTGTAGAAGACGCTGTGGGTGAAGTCTCCGTCCATGTTGAGCTGTTTGCTCATCCGGGAACTGGAGAACACAAGGTCACAGTGAAAGGTGAGTGGTCTGAGGTGGGAGGGACTCCCCAGGCTCAAACAGAAACCAGCCTTAAACTGGCTTAAACACCCTTCGTTGTTGTTGTTGTTTAATGGTCCATGAAACAAAAATGTCCAGAGGTGACCACCTTCAGGCATGGCTGGATCCAGCAGGGTAAACAGTGTTATAAGACTCAATCCCACTTTCTCCATCTCTCAGCCTTGCTTTCCTTGGCTTTTGCTGACTAGAACATAGATTGGGCTGTGTTCAACATGGCTTAAATAAGATAGAATTAGGCCAGACACAGTGAGCAAGGCCTGTAATGTCAACACTGTGGAAGGCGGAGCTTGGCATATCAAGAAGGCCAGGAGTTCAAGACCAACCTGGCCAACATGATGAAACCATCTCTACTAAAAAATACAAAAAATTAACCGAGTGTGGTGGTGTTTCACCAACATGGTGAAACCATGTCTCTACTAAAAATTCAAATATTAGGGGGACCGGCTGTCGTGGCTCACACCTGTAATCCCAGCACTTTGGAAGGCCGATTGGGCAGATCAAGAGGTCAGGAGTTCAAGACCAACCTGGACAACACGATGAAACCCGTCCCTACTAAAAAATACAAAAATTAACCAAGTGTGGTGATGTGCACCTGTAGTCCCAGCTACTCGGGAGGCTAAGGCAGGAGAATCTCTTGAACCGGGAACGTGGAGGTTGCAGTGAGCCAACATCAAGCCACTGCACTCCAGCCTGGGTGACAGAGTGAGACTCTGTCTCAAAAAAAAAAAATTTTTTTCGAAAATTAGCTGGGTGTGGTGGCGTGTACCTATAGTTCCAGCTGTTGAAGGAAGCGGAGGTGGGAAGATCGCTTGAACCCAGGAGGCGGAGGTTTGCAGTGAGCCGAGAACCCACCACTGTACTCCAGCCTGGGTGACAGAGCAAGACTCCATGTAAACAAAAAGAAAATGATAGAACTGGTTTTCCTCCGGGGTGACTGACAGTGTAAGAGCCGCCACCCTCAGCTGATGCGGAGGCTTCGCAGTGTTGGGATCCGTGCAGCTGACATCTTTTGTTGCATTTTCATCCCTGACGTGTTTCTGTTGTTTGCTTGTTTTAGAGGTGAGGTCTCTGCCACCCAGGCTGGAGTGCAGTGGCGCGATCTCGGCTCACTGAAATCTCCGCCTCCTGGGTCAAGTGATTCTCCTGCCTCAGCCTCCTGAGTAGCTTGGACTACAGGCACACGCCACCATGCCTGGCTAACTTGTTTTGTATTTTTAGTAGAGACGGGGTTTCACCGTTTTAGCCAGGAGGGTCTAGATCTCCTGACCTCATGATCCACCCGCTTCGGCCTCCCAAAGTGCTGGGATTACAGGTGTGAGCTACCGAGCCCAGTCTTTAATTTTTTTTTTTTAATTTAGACAGGATCTTGCTTTGTCACCCAGGCTGGAGTGCAGTGGTGCAATCTCGGCTCACTGTAACCTCCGCCTCCCAGGCTCAAGAAATCCTCCTGCCTCAGCCCCACAAGTATCTGGGACCGTAGGCGCGTGCCACCCAGCTCATTTTTGTACTTTACTAGACACAGGGTTTCACCATGTTGCCTAGGCTGGTCTCAAACTCCTGGACTCAAGTGATCCCCCGGCTTTGGCCTCCCGAGGTTCTGGGATGACAAGTGTGAGCCACCACGCCCAACCTTACACAGATTTTGAGAACCATGAACATCTACTTTTTCCTACTGGGAAAACCTGACCTGTCTTACCCTCTACTTCCCCCTACAGTGGTGGCTGCCAATGACCTCAAATGGCAGACTTCTGGCATCTTCCGGCCGTTCATCGAGGTCAACATCATTGGGCCCCAGCTCAGTGACAAGAAACGCAAGTTTGCAACCAAATCCAAGAACAATAGCTGGGCTCCCAAGTACAATGAGAGCTTCCAGTTGTGAGTTTGGGATGCTTTGAAGAGCATGGGGGGAAGGGAGGGGGCACCCCCTAGGTGAACCCCAAGGCCAGGTAGGCAGGAGGGATCTGGCATCTGGGCCCGGGAATGGGAAGGGCCCACATTCTAAGTGGGGGTGCTGGAAAGGGAGACATTTTAGTAGTGCAGGAGTGACATCAGGGAGGGGACATGAGGATGGAGGTCACCTTTGGGGCAGGCAGATCCCAGGAGAGGCAGTGAGTGGAGTGGGATAATTTCGTGATGAAGGGTTGCAGAGGGGAGGAGAAGTCGGCAGGAAGTGCATGGTGGGCAGGGCCATTGCTGGGGCTGGAGACTGTCTGGTGAAGGGATGAGGTTGGCAGTGATGAAGCTTATGAGTCAGGGGCTGAGGGACCTGGGGACAGGACTGAGGATGCTTGGGGGTGGGGACTCCTGGAATCCACATTGAGCCTTGTCAGGACCACTGGGGCAGCCCATCAGAGGGAGTCAGCTCTGGGAACAAGAGTGGAGTGTGGATGGATTCCAGGCATCGGGGTGGGGGTCACGTGGGGTGGAGGTCCTTAAGAGTTGGGAGTGCACCTAGGCTCTGGGTATCAGGACAGGGTCTAGAGGATACTGATAATGTGGAGAGCATAAAAAGTCTGCTCTGGCCGGGCCTGGTGGCTCACACTTGTCATCCCAGCACTCTGGGAGGCCGAAGCGGGCAGATCACCTGAGGTCAGGCTGTTCAAGAGCAGCCTGGCCAACATGGCAAAACCCCCTCTCTACTCGAAGTACAAAAAAAAAATTACCTGGGTGTGGTGGTGCATGCCTGTGATCACAGCTACTTGGGACGATGAGACAGCAGAGTCGCTTAAACCCCAGAGGTAGAGGTTGCAGTGAACCAAGATCAGGCCATTGCACTCCAGCCTGGGTGACAGAGCAAGACTCCGTCTCAAAAAAAAAGAAGTCTGCTCTAGCCAAGCATGGTGACTCATGCCTATAATCCCAACACTTTGGGAGGCAAAGGTGGGCAGATCACTTGAGGCCAGGAGTTTGAGACCAGCCTTGCCAACATGGTGAAACCCTATCTCTTCTAAAAATAGACAAAATTAAGCCCAGCGTTGTGGTGGGTGCCTGTAATCCCAGCTACTCAGGAGGCTGAGACAGGAGAATCACTTGAACCCAGAAGGCAGAGGTTGCAATGACACTACTGCACTCCAGCCTGAGTGACAGAGCAGACTCAAAAAAAAAAAAAATAGAAAAAGAAAAATACAGAAATTAGCCAGGTGTGCTGGCAGGCACTTGTAATCCCAGCTACTCCAGAGGCTGCGGGCTATGACAATCACTGGAACCCAGGAGGCAGAGGTTGCAGTGAGCCATGACTGTACCACTTTACTCCAGCTTGGGTGACAGAGCAAGACTCTGTCTCAAAAAAAAAAAAGTCTGCTCAGTGGGATAGATGGGGGTGGTTAGCAGGGGTAGAGTTGGGGTCATGTGGGGTAGATCCTTGGGTCGACTGTCAGCCTCACATGGCACTGGGGCAGGGCAATGTTGTTGGATGCTCTTGGAGGACAGAAATGCAGAAGGAAGTAGTCCCAGCTACCTGGGAGGCTAAGGCAGGAAGATCCCTTAAGCCTAGGAGTTTAAGGCTGCAGTGAGCTATGATTGTGCCACTGCACTCCAGCCTGGGTGACAGACATAATGAGACCCTGTCTTTTAAAAAAAAAATTATGGGCCAGGCACAGTGGCTCACGCTTGTAATCCTAGCACTTTGGAAATCAAGGTGGGTGGATCACCTGAGGTCCAGAGTTCCGAGACCAGCCTGGCCAACATGGTGAGAACCCCCACCACCACTGTCTCTACTAAAAATACAAAAAGTCAGCTGGGTGTAGTGGTGCATGCCTGTAATCCCAGCTACTAGGAAGGCTGAGGCAGAAGACTCATTTGAGCCCAGGAGGCAGAGGTTGCAGTAAGCCAAGATTCTGCCACTGCACTCTAGCCTGGGTGACAGAGGGAGACTCCCGCTCAAAAAAAGAAAAAAAAACAACAAAGAAAAAAAAATGGTGCACAGGGGTAAGGGTAAATCACAGCTGATTAACTGTATCATCTAGGGGCTGGGAGTTCCTATGGGACAAGACCGAAGCCAGTTCCAGGTCGTGTCAGCACAGGGCTCTTCTTGGTCAGAAGGGTTTGGGACGATTGGCTCCCTTAGGGAGGAAAAGCCTGGTCTAGTAGGAGGTCACCTGTCAGCCAGAGTGGGTCGAAGTACTTCAGGGATCGAGGTGTGCTACCTGGGAGGGGGACAAGAGGGAGCAGCTGGGAATGGCCCTGCAGGAGGGCTCTTGTAGGTCACTGGGACTGCTTAGGGGCAGGAGCACAGGTGAGGGGCATGCAGGAGGCAGTCACCCATAGTGAGGCACCAGGGCAGGCTCATGTCTGGAGGGCATCTTGAGAGTAAAAGGGGTGGGCTGGGGGGCTGGGGAAAGGGCCACGTCGGAGTTCTAGAGGAGGGCCTAGTTAAAGAGCTTCTGGGTGGTACATTAGGGGCAGGGCCGTGCGGGCAGCAGTTCAACCAGAAGAGGGCACAGGCGTGGGTATCTCAGGTTGGGAGCATGGGCTTGCGGGGCGGTGTTTGAGGAACGGGTTACTTAGAGCGGCGGGAGCTGGATGTAAAACTGTGAGGTCATTTTTCGGTAGGTGCAAAGAGAACAGACTGAGGTCTAACGATGGCCAAGCACCGGGTTGTAGGGCAAGTCACGGGGCATGGGCGGGGCTAGTGTATCGTGGGGATGATAGATGTGGGCACCCCGGCTTGGCCCTTCCTGGCGTGGGCGTGGACCGCAAACGCAGTGGGGGCGAGGCCGTGGGGCGGGGCGTCCAGGTGGGCGTGGCATGCCTCACGCTCCGCCCCGCTCCCCGCAGCACGCTGAACGCCGACGCGAGCCCCGAGTGCTACGAGCTGCAGGTGTGCGTCAAGGACTACTGCTTCGCGCGTGAGGACCGCACGGTGGGGCTGGCCGTGTTGCAGCTGCGGGAGCTAGCCCAGCGCGGGACCGCCGCCTGCTGGCTGCCGCTCGGCCGCCGCATCCACATGGACGACACAGGCCTCACGGTGCTGCGCATCCTCTCTCAGCGCAGCAACGACGAGGTGGCCAAAGAGTTCGTGAAGCTCAAGTCGGACACGCGCTCCGCCGAGGAGGGCGGTGCCGCGCCTGCGCCTTAGCGCCGGGCGCACAGCCAAGCGGCAGTGCGCCTGCGCGGAGGGCGCTGGGCGGGGAGGGGCCGGGCTTTGCGCCTCAGTGGGACCACCCTCGGGGCGGGGCTCGGGGGGCTCCGCCCCGAGGGAGGGCTACGCCTACGTCCCTGATTTAGCTCTCGCTTTGGGGGACTTAGCAATGAAGGATGCCCCGCCCTCTCGGGAGGCCACGCCCAAGGGTGCGACGAAGGAAGAAGCCACATCTCCAACTTGAGGCCACGCCCCCAGCATTTAGGGGGCATTTTGAGCTGGGATGGGGGAAACCTCATCCCTATGGAGGAGGCCACATCCCGGGGCTCTGGTACCGGGAGGCACCGTCTCCTGTCCCCTGGAAAAGCCATAAGACAGGTCCCAGAACCCTGGGACCCCAGACCAATTGCCAAGTATGAAAATCTCAGCTCACTCAAGGGGGAGCCCTGGGCAAGGGTCAGGGCTACCTGGAGCGCCCCTGGAGGTGGCCTGGGGGCTGGAGGGACCAGGATGCTGGTTGGAGGGACCGGGAATACCGTAGTCCCTTTAGATGTTTGTGCAAAAAATAAATGGGGGGGGGGAGGATGGGATTTCAAAAGCACATGCGCCCTTGGGCGCCCAAACCCTGGGGGCCGAGAGACGGCTCTGGGGCACCCGCGCTGCCCCTACTTCCCTTTGGCAGTTAGCCTCTTCTTCTCCCCCAACAAACCCAGTGCTCATATCATAGAGTTCAACACACCCATTTGACAGATGGCGAAACAGGCTCAAAGAGCTGCTTGAGACTTGGCTGAGGTTCCCAGTGCCATACCCTCTATCCCCTCCCTTAGGCCTGTGTGCCCCATGGAAGGGTGGGCTGAGGTCGGGATGACTTGACACAGCTCCCTATTGCTGCTAATTCCCCCTTGGGGGCCTCCTCCAAGGGGTGGGAGTTCCAGGCCAAGACCCCTACTTCACCTTTCCTTCTCTGGCTGCCAAGCAAAACCCCTGCCCTCAACCCTTTCTCCTGGGACTCCATAAGGGATGCCATGAGGGCTCTTGATCTCCCACCACAAAAGAGAGAATTTGGGAGCTCTGGTCCCAGGTTTCTCCACCCCTTCTTCCTTTCCCAGAATTCTCCAGACAGGAAAGTACAGGAGACAAGAAACTCTAGGGGTGTGTGTGCAAGAGAGAGAGAGAGAGAACACAAACACACTCAGAGCTGAGTCTCCAAGATCCTATTCATTCATTCAAACACCCAAGCCACAGGATATATACTCGGGTGGCCCTCTTGCCTGCTGGAAGCTCCTTCTCCAATGAGCAAAGTTGCGGTGACTTGGCTGGAGTTACCACGTGCTTACAGGACCTTTAGAGAAAGTTCAGCATGAGCTATGTTTGCTCTGCTTTTCTACCTGTGTGGATGGCATGCCTTTTTCTGCTGGAATGGGAAGGGCAAGACTTTGCTGTGCCAGGGAGAAATGAAAACGGGGTGAGATGAATAGCTGGGTTCCTGGAGGATGGAGTATCAGATGGGGAGGCTTTCCGAGGTGAAGAATGAGAGGGAACCACTTACTTGAGAGAAAAGAGCTCCAGGCAGGGGGAACAGCACATGCAAAGGCCAGGCGATGAGAACTGTTGAAACAAGAAGAAGGGTGGCATGGCTGGAGCTGAGCCATCGAGGATGACCCCGGGAGCCTTGGGGCTAGGGAGATTTGCAGAGGCATCAGACCAGGCAGGGTCTCGTCCACTGTCCTGAGGAGTTTCACTTTTATTCTAAGACAGCTGGGGAGCCCTAGGAGATTTTTAAGCTGGGGAGGGATTGTATTCCAGCATGCAAAAGCTGTTCTGTGAAGACTAAAACCAGTGAAGAGTGGTGGGGATGCTTTGGAGATGCTGAAATTGATTCTTGGAAAGATTCCGAGGGCTATATTTAAAGAAAAGACACCTGTAATCCCAGCACTTTGGGAGGCCAAGGCTGGCAGATCCTTTAAGGTCAGGAGTTCAAGACCAGCCTGGCCAACATGGTGAACCCGTCTTTACTAAAAATACAAAAATTTGCCAGGCACGGTGGTGTGTGCCTGTAGTCCCAGCTACTCAGGAGACTGAGGCAGGAAAATTGCTTGAACACTGAAGGCAGAGGTTGCAGTGAACTGAAATCACACCACTGTGCTCCAGCCTGGGCAACAATACTCCATCTGTCCCCTCCCCGATAAAAAAAAAAATCTGCCCTTAGGTGAGCTCCAGGGCTGTGGGGCACAGTTGTCCCAGTTGTATAGTGCCCAACGGTTTGGCATCTCTAAGAAGGCCACATGCAAATCCTAGACATTAAGTGTTGTATGTTTATGATGATGGTTTACCGACATAGGAAGGGCAGCTGTCTGGAAGAAGGGGCGCCACTTTCTAATTGGCTTGAAGGTACTGCGTGTCCCCTAAATTCAGACGGGCGCAGGTAAGTAGACGTTCTGAACCAAAGGTTAAAATGCAAACTCTAGTGCAGGATTGGGAAGCTGCAGCCAGGAATAAGGGAGTGTCTGTTAATGGACTGAGGAGCAGATGTGAATTTCAGACCATGCCATGGCTGAGGGCGGGGAGAGGATGGATGGATGATTCAGGGTTGTAACCAGTAGACTCCAAAGGGGAAGAAGTGATCTGTGACCTGGGTGAGGGTGATCTGGAAGATTTTGGATGGCTGGGAAGAAATGGGGAAATTGAGCTGCCTGAGAGAGCCAAAATGTTTCCCAAAGGATTCCTTAGGAGTCTTTCTGGTCATGATCTCAGAGTGTGTGTGTGTGGTCAAGATCTCGGGAGTGTGTGTGTGTGTGTGTGTGTGTGTGTGTGTTTAGGGTTCCCCAGCAATGGCCCAGACATGTGAAGGAAGCAAGCTTTAGGGAATATTTGGCGAATGAATTTTCCTCCCAGACCAGAACTGTTTTTGCAATTTCCTCCCTCTTTTCTTTCCCCCAGAGAGCTCCTACTCATCCTTCAAAACCCATCACGAAAACCTCTTGAAGAAAACCCTCCCTCTTTCCCCTCAGGACTTTTCCAGCCTCCGTCCCTCCTCCAGTCCAGCCTGATGCCATGGGACTGGGGGTGTCTCTGTTGAGCTGTTTCTCCCAGACAGGGGTCTGAGGCCTCTCAGGAACCCCAACTTTACCTAGAACAGGCTGAGCACAAGGGGGTACCAGGGAGGATGTGCCTAGTGGAATTATGTGTTGGGACAGGGTTGGTGTGTGAATACACATCCGCATGCGTGTCTGTCCGTGTCCATACCAACCTTCCCCTTCCACACGGACCTGGGCATTTAGGAGGTGTCTGAGCCAGACTGAGGCCAACACATGGGACAGAGAATGGACATGGCTGAGACACGGACAGAGAAAAGACAAAGAGTCCAGGGGGCTGAAAACCTTTTGAAATCAGGAAGTTCCTGTCTTGGTCTTGGCAGAACAAAGCTCAGAGAGGAGCAGGGCCCAGCCTTGGACGACACCTCCAGGGTTCTGAACCCTGGATCTGGCTTCATGCAAGGAGGTGGCCCAGATGTCCATGAATCAGGGAAAGGCCACAGAGGTTGTCCTGTGGCAGGGTGGGGGTTAAAGGGGTGACACTGAGTGATGCCTCAGAGTCAAAGTCCCTTGACCAAGAGGAATAGAGAAAGTAGAAAACAGAGACGGAAGGCTGGGCGCCGTGCCTCACACTTGTAATCCCAGCATTTTGGGAGGCCGAGGCGGGCAGATCACCTGGGGTTGGGAGTTCGAGACCAGCCTGACCAACATGGAGAAACCCTATCTCTACTAAAAATATAAAATTAGCTGGGCATGGTGGCATGTGCCTGTAACCCCAGCTACTCGGGAGGCTGAGGCAGGAGAATTGCTTGAACCCAGGAGGTGGAGGTTGCAATGAGCCAAGATTGAGCCATTGCAGTCCAGCCTGGGTGACAAGAGTGAAACTTCTTCTCAAAAAAAAAAGAAAGAAAGAAAAGAAAACAGAGGGTGAGATCATGCCCTGATGAGGATGGAGAGAGACAGAGATGGAGAGAGACACAGAGGTGGAGAAATACAGAGAAAGAGAATTGCAGAGACCAGGGCAGGGCTCTTGGGGGAAGTAAAGAGAGTGTCCCAGAGAAAGAAGGATCTGTTCAGTCTCAGCAATCTGTCCTCCAATGATTTGCATAAAATGAGGAGGTGCCTGTCCATGCCCCCAATTCTGCTCTCAGGTTCCAGAGCCTGAAACCTCACCATGCCCCCATCAGAGATGCAAAAAACTAAACACCCAACTAGAAATCCTTGGGACCTCTCGGCTGGGATCTCAGAGCCTTTCTGTCCCCCACTCCTACCCCCATGTGCTGTCGATTTTGCAGATGGGGACAGCCTGGGGCCTCCTGGAACTCTGCCACCCTGGGGAAGTTGCGGGGAGGGCCTCCGTCCTGGATCACAACCTCGTCTGCTCCTCAAAATCCTTTCCTACGAATCGTTGAGGACCAAAGTTGTCTTTGCTGACACGTGTTGCTTTTCTCTTTGCCTTTTATTGTTTTAGAGAAAAATGAAGTTGACTGTGTCAAGTAACACCCCACCCCTTCCCCCCATCCAGCCATAGTGGCTCTCTGGAGACACAGGTCACAGGCGGAGGGTCCCCCAATCATCCACAACCACACAGCCAGGGGGACTTGACCCCTGTCCATCCCTGTCTCGTGCTCTGTCAGACACCCTCCAGATCGGCCAAGCAGTCCCAGGAGGCTTCCCCTCCACACAGCTTCTCTTAGCATGTGATTGCAGATGTGAAATCAAAACGTTGTTCGTTTCTTGTTTTGTTTTGATTCCACCCCGTCGGTCCGGCGTCTGCACAGATGCCTTCATTTCTCTGTAAATACGTGACTTGGAACAAATGTTTAACACAAGAAGTGCTCATGAATGCATGGTGTTGAGATGTTTTGCACTATTCTGACTTTTTGGTCTCTGTAAAAATATTTTATTAACAGCAGACATTAAAAAAAGAAAAAGCACACACAGCCTTGGGCACATGGTTGCGTTTTTGCATTCTGCATTCCTTTATCAGCAAAAACAAACAGAAACAAACTCAGGCACACTTGGCACCTACTAGACGCAGACTCAGTAGAACACACAGTTTGCCTGTGAACGAGGCTCATCCACAACTGGAGTCATCCCCATTTTACAGAGAAGAAAACTGAGGCACAGAGAGACAAGATCTTGCCCAGATCACATAGCCAGGAAGAGATGGAGCTGGGGTCTGAACTAGGATGTTGTACAAACGTTGCGTTTGTGTTTTTGTTTTTGTTTTGAGACAGAGTCTCTGCCGCCCAGGTTGGAGTGCAGTGGCGCGATCTCGGCTCACTGCAACCTCCGCCTCCCAGGTTCAAGCGATTCTCCTGCCTCAGCCTCCTGAGTAGCTGGGATTACAGGCGCCCACCACCATGCCCAACTAATTTTTGTATTTTTAGTAAAGAAGGGCTTTCACCACATGGGCCAGGCTCGTCTCAAACTCCTGACCTCAGGTGATCCACCCCCTCGCCCTCCCAGAGTGCGGGGATGACAGCCGTTAGCCACTGCGTCCAGCCATCTGTTATCCTTAACTCAAGGAAGTTAAGAGACAAATCCTTAACTCAACCCAGGAACCCATGCTTGTCTGCTTTCGTCGGGTTTTTGGGGATTTTCTTGTTTGTCCGTCTGTTTTTGAGACAGGGTCTTGCTCTGTCACCCAGGCTGCAATAGAGTCAAAATCTCAACTCACTGCACACCGCATCCTCGATCTCCCAGACTCAAGCAATCCTCCCTCCTCATACTCCTGAGGAGTGTGTGCCACCACACCTGATTAATTTTTGTATTTTTTTTGTAGAGACAGGGTTTTGCCATCTTGCCCAGACTGGTCTCGAACTCCTGGCTTTAGGACTCAGCCTTCCAAAGTCCTGGGATTACAGGTGTGAGCCACTGTGCCTGGTCATGTCTGTTTTATTTATATTATTCATTTATTTATTTATTTTGAGACAGAGTCTCTCATTTTGTCACCAAACTGGAGTGTAGTAGTGTGATCTCGGCTCACTGCAACCTCCGCCTCCCAGGTTCAAGCAATTCTTCTGCCCAGCCTCCCAAGTAGCTGGGACTGCAGGCTCGTGTCACCACCCCCCAGCTAATTTTTGTATTTTTAGTAGACACGGAGTTTCACCATGTTGTCCGGGCTGGTCTCGAACTTCTAACCTCAAGCGATCCACCTGCCTTGGCTTCCCACAGTGCTGGGATTCCAGGCATGAGCTACCTGGCGCAGAAATAACGTTCTATTGGAACATGGCCACACCTGCTTATGTGTGCATTGTCTGCAGCTGCTTTGGGGCTGGACCTGCAGAACCGAGTGGTTGCAGTAGAGACTGGATGGTCTGCAGAGCGGAATCTATTGACTCTGGCCTTTTGCAGTATTAAACAGTTACAGGCCAGGCACAGCGGCTCACACCTGTAATCCTAGCACTTTGGGAGGCTGATGCAGGTGGATCACCTGAGGTCAGTTCGAGACCAGCCAGGCCAACATGGTGAAACCATGTCTCTACTAAAAATACAAAATTAGCTGGGCGTGGTGGCGTATGCCTGTAATCCCAGCTACTGGGGAGACTGAGGCAGGAAACTCACTTGAACCTGGGAGGCGGAGGTTACAATGAGCCAGGATCACGCCACTGCACTTTAGCCTTGTCAACAAGAGTGAAACTCCATCTAAAAAAAAAAAAAGAAGCACTGATCTTTGCTACAACGTGGCTGAACCCCAAAAACATGATGCTGAGTGACAGAACCCAGACACAAAAGGCCACATAGTGTGAGATTCCATTGACATGACATGTCCAAAAGAGGCAAATTCATATGTCAGAGATGTTTGAACCAGAGCAATTCCAACTTGAATAGAAGCTGGGTAAATAGAAGCTGGTAAATAGAAGTTGGCCAAGTGCGGTGGCTCACACCTGTAATCCCAGCACTTTGGGAGGCCGAGACAAGTGGATCACCTGAGGTCAGGAGTTCGAGACCAGCCTGGGCAACACGCCCTGTCTGAGGCTGGGGCAGGAGAATCACTTGAATCTGGAAGGTGAAGGTTGTGGTGAACAGAGATCATGCCACTGCACTCCTGCCTGGGCGACAAGAGCGAGACTCCGTCTCAAAACTTGCAAACAAACAAAAACTACATTTTTTTGCTGAACACAGTATCTGGAAAAAAAATCCTTTAGAATTGAGGCGAGATTCAGACAACACGAAATTAACCCTATGAAAATGTTCAATTCAGTGGCGTTTAGCACATTCACAATGTTTCCATCAGCAGTCACCGCCCACTCACCCTTCCCCAGCTTCCTGTCTCTGTGTGTTCCCAGAAGGAGTCCTGATCAAGACCCCAAGAGAACGTTCTTGGATCTCCTGCAGGGAAGAATTCAGGGCGAGTGAGTGAAAGCAAGTTTCTTAGAAAGTAAAGGAATAGAGAATGGCTGTTCCAGAGACAGCAGCCCCGAGGGCTGTGGTTGCCCGTTTTTATGGCTATTTCTTGATGGTATGCTAAACAAGGGGTGGATTACTCACGCCTCCCCTTTTCAGACCAAGTAGGGGAACTTCCTGAGGTTGCCATGGCAGCTGTAAACTGTCGTGGCGCTGGTGGGAGTGTAGCAGTGAGGACCACCAGAGGTCACTCTCGTCGCCATCTTGGTTTTGGTGGGTTTGGGCTGGCGTCTTTACAGCAACCTGTCTTATCAGCAAGGTCGTTATGACCTGTATCTGGTGCGGACCTCCTACGTCATTCTGTGACTTAGAATGTCTTCACCGTCTGGGAATGCAGCCCAGCGGGTCTCGGCCTCATTTTACCCACCCTCTTTTATTATTATTATTATTTTTTTTAAAGATGGGGTTTCACCATGTTGGTCAGGCTGCTCTTGAACTCCCGACCTCAGGTGATCCGCCCACCTCGGCCTCCCAGAGTGCTGGGATTACAGGCGTGAGCCACCTCGTCCGCCCCCCCCCCACCCAAATTTTTTTAAAACAAGTCAGATCTGAGGCCAGGTATGGTGGCTCATGCCTGTAATCCCAGCACTTTGGGAGGCCGAGACAGGTGGATCACCTGAGGTCAGGAGTTTGAGACCAGCCTGGCCAACATGACCAAACCCCATCTCTACTAAAAATAAAAAAAACATTGCCAGATGGGGTGGTGCACGTGCGCCTGTCATCCCTGCTACTCGGGAGGCTGAGGCATGGGAATAGCTTGAACCCGGGAGGTGGCGGTTGCAGTGAGCTGAGATTGCACCACTGCACTCCAGCCTGGGCTACGGAGCCAGACTCCGTTTCAAAAATAATAATAATAATAATGAAAAGTCGGACTGGCCCTCCTCCACAGTTCGCCAGCCACCGACTTGACCCCATTGTTCTTCAACTCTTCCCCCTGCTTCTCCGCATTTCTCTCAACCACAGACTGAACTCACACTATTCTCACATCCATCGCTGCCCTCTCACTCTCTCCTGAAACGCCCCACCCCAGTCGCTCACTGTCGCTCTCATCCTAACCCCATTTGACTCTTGCCTTCTTCTCCCTCCACCAGCCAACCTGGCAGAACCACCCGGGAACTTCAAAAAGAGGCATATTCCGTTTCCTGGAGGGCATAACACAATTATGTGGTTGATGATCCTCTGAGGTTACGTTTCACTATCTAGTCGATTACACTGCATGATAATTACTCTGCAAAAGATGCCGGTGGGGATAGGACCAGGTGGCTCATGCCTGTAATCCCAGCACTTTGGGAGACTATAACTATGCATCCTACAGTTTTGCCGTTGTCCCTATCATCATTGTAACGTATGCTAATCAACCAGCCGTGATTAGCCGTGACGTTAGCATCCGCGCCCCCCCAACCCTGTTCCAAAGCCCCACCTACACGTGCAGCTCTCCCCTGCAGCTGGGCACACCCAGGGTGTCTGCTGACTTCGCTCCCAGAGGCACCTCTGGGAGTCTGGAACATGAAAGGGACTAACGTCATCTTGGTTTCCCTTCCCCTTCACTCTGCCGGCAGCCAGATGTGGAAACAGTCGGGGTTTCAGCATTCCCTTGTTCAGTGAAAACCTCGGGAAGCTTTGGAAAGCCCCTTCTTCAAGGTCATCTCTGTGGGACCAGATTCATTCCTGATGCTTTGTACCCAGAGTTTGCAAACTTCAGCCCCGGGCCAAATCTGACCCAACACTGGTTTTTGTAAATAAAGTTTTATTGGTACACAGCCAGGCTCATTCATTTATGTATTGTCTGTGGCTGTTTTTCAGACTGCGTTGGCAGCATTGAGTCGTTGTGAATTTCCTGTATGAAGCCCCATTCTGTTAAAAGACCTCAAGTGTAGCTGGGCGTGGTGGCGTGTAGCTGGGCGTGGTGGCACGTAGCCAGGTGTGGTGGCATGTACCCGTGGTCCCGGCAGCTCCGGAGGCCGAGGCTGGAGGTTGCAGTGAGCTGGGATCATGCCACTGCGCTCCAGCCTGGCAACGGTTGGAGAATCCGTCTCAAAAAAAACCCTCAAGTGGTTTCTGTTTTCCCACCTTGATCCATGACTGATATACACTGTATTATGATACATCCAACTGTATATCATATGACCGACACATCCATAGAGCAAGACACAATGCCCTCCAAAGGATACTGTAGCATTAGGCTAAATAATGTCCCCTTAGAGATAGCCACATCTATTGCCCAGAACCTGTGGATATTACTTTATTTTATTTATTTATTTATTTATTTAAGATGGAGTTTCACTGTTGTTGCCCAGGCTGGAGTGTGATGGTGCGATCTCAGCTCACTGCAACCTCCACCTCCTGGATTCAAGCGATTCTCCTGCCTCAGCTTCCTGAGTAGCTGGAACTACAGGGGTGCGCCACAATGCCTGGCTAATTTTTGTCCTTTTAGTAGAGGTGGGGGTTTCACCATGTTGGCCAGGCTGGCCTTGAACTCCTGACCTCAGGTGATTCACCTGCCTCGGCCTCCCAAAATGCTGGGATTATA